TGTTCAAGACAAATTTTTGTTATTGCCATTTTAAGCCTTCTCTTATCCTGTGATGATACAGAAAATAATTTATTATTTTCATATCTGTAGCTATGTTTTACAGAGTAGTGTGTACCTGTCTGCTCATGGCAAACTTTTTATTACTGCCTGTTTACCCTTTGTTCTTGCTTATTGTTGTTCCACTCCCCACTCCAAATAAAGGCAAAATATTTTTTAACCAATCTTCAAGAGTGATTCAATTATGCTTAATAGTTTAGTTACTTTTCCTTAATTTTGATGTGATTCTCTTGTGGTCAGATGAGCATCTAGCAGTGCGCTCATTATCATTCAAAAATAATTTCTCTGTCCCTTGTAGAAGTAAGACTGTCACTGCTTTTGGTGATGACAAGGTGCTTTTTAACATAAAACTAAAACTTGCCTGGTATTTTAGTTTTCATATGGCAATACAGTTATATGAAATATTTAATCAAATTTCATTGGATGATATGAGAGGCTATTAAGTTTACTGTACATTCATGTAATACATTGTAATACATTGCTATTTCTATTTTTTTTAAATTCTGTATCTTGGTAAGTGAGATATGAGATTTCTTGTCATCATTGGTAATTGTTTATTCTCCAGGACAAGAACTAGCATAGAGTTTTATATAAAACTTCTTCCTAGCTTGCTGCTTTTTCAGTGGAAACTGTTTTCTCTAAGGAAGTCTTCAGGAATCCTATGACAGCAGTCCTAGATAGAATGCTTATTCTTACATCCAAAGCTATTATTGAAAATCCTCAGTAGTATTCTTGAAAGCCCACAGAATGATACGTAAAAGGATTATTACCATTTTAATTCTCAACCTGATTTGGACTACAAACCAAATGTAAAACCATGTGTGATCATGCATGACTTCAGTGTCATGGTGAAATTTGTCATTGAAGAAAAATTACATGTATTTTCCTCTGAAAACAGATAAGTTAACTTCTTTGTATCGTTGAATTTAATATATTGGGTCACATCTGCTAAAGGATTATTGCTCTAGAAGGAGGCAATGGATAATTTATTAAAATACCCCTGCAGGGAGATAGCAGGCTATCTGGTTAATATAGAGGAATGCTTGATGGTTACACTGAAAGCTCCCTGGTGAATCCTTTAACATAGGAATAGAACGGGAGATGAAAATGATTGCTCGTTATATGCTGTTTACTGTGTTATATGGGTGCCTAGCACATGAATAATATTTATGTTAACAGCTCCTTTCCAGCTTTTTATATTGATCTCATGCTGGTCTAGGGCTGATATATAATTGTACTGAAAATAGGAAGATAATACTTTTTTTTTATAATGGAGGGTGGCAAATAGGTTCTTCCAACACATCACCCTAGCTGGGTATGAAAGATATTGTATCTTTGTGCCACAGGCTTGTAGGATTTTAACTTTTTCTATTTACTTTTTTTTTCTGTGATGTTTCTCATCTCCTCGTAAACTTAAATGAACTGCAGAGTGTCCCACAGGCAGTGGGAGTTTCTTGGTGGGTGGGAAAGCTTCTTTCCTTTGCCTCAAAGGAACCTCACTGTTGATATGCTTACTGAGTTTGAAAAGGACCAAATGACTCTGTCTTTCCATGAATGCTGAAAGCTAAAAAGCTGACAAATAGCTGTCCTGTCTCACTTAAATACAGTTCCTGCATAGCTGGCTAACCTTAGATAAAGATGTTTATTCATGCTGTAAGAACTGAGAATTAACATTTTAGTTGCAGTTTATGCTACTTAGAGAACAGAAACTAAACCAAATGTTTGGTGGTGATATCCCATTGGAAGCTCCTCAGATACCGAGGTACAGATACCCAGAGGAACTGACATGCCTCAGTTTTCTTGCTAACAACAAAAGACAGTTTCACATGGCAGCTAAGAGCAAAATGAATGAAAAAATCCTCAAGGTCACTTGTTTTCATTGGTTCCTTGGGTTGTTGTTTCTGGGTTCTTCCACTCCTGCTGTTAAGCAAGCCAGGCCTTAAAAATAGCAATGGTTTCTTGAAAAACTGAGCTGGCATATTTTTTTAAATGAAAAAAAAAACCCTAATGCAAAATCCAACATATATTTTACATGTTATGGGTTGTTCTTTTCAGGCCAAATGACATTATGTGAAGAACTTCTCACCACACCTGTCAGTCACTGTGGACTGAAGGTTTGGGGTGGAGGGATTCTCACACAGCTGTTTCTGTGAATTTTGCTGGATTCAAGGGGTGTGAACACCTGGAAGAGAGCCAGAGCTGTGCTCCTTAACCATTATTATCATTAAATGCATGAAAAGGCAGTAAAGACATTGCTTTCCTATGAAATAGAGGATAATAAAGTAAGACAGAGTAAGACTGAGGTCAGTGACAGATTGGAAAGCATTTCTCCTACATCATTTATGGGGAATAAACAAAAGGCATTAAAAACATCTATATTACTAAGAAAAATGCCATGCTTCTCTTTAGTCAGTGCAGTTCATGATAACTACATTCCTTAAGAGTATTACTGTGTGCTTCAGTATAAATGCTTAATTTGAAATCAGGTTACAATAAAAAACTTGGAACTGCTTAGGGAAGCAAATCCAACATATTAAGTTATGCTAGTTGTGAGTATATCCTGAAAAAGAAGTAAACTCCTCAATGTCAGGCAGTTTTGTTTTAGTTTTTTTTCCTCTTCCTGTATCTAATGCTTTGAAAAGTTTCAGTCCCTACTATTAAAAGAGGAATCAACAGACATATAATAATACTAGTGCATTGCTGTTTTAGTACCTTTTGTTTATAAGTCTCAATAGATTTTTTTACATTTAAACCTTTACACAACCTTTGTGAAAAAAAAAAAAGAAATTTAGTAGGATAGCTTAAATTCTGTTCCCTTCCTGCTCCTGAAAAACAATGGCAACTTCGCAACTGTGCATACCAGCACTGCAGAAGAGTTTAAAAAGGTAGTGTAAGAAAAACTCCACACAGAGCTGTCTAAGTTCAGCATTGAAAAGGAGAGTAAAATCTTACACAGAAAGAAACAAAAGTATTCAAGGGTGTTTTTTGCATTCTATACAGATATTCAGACTTATGAGATCCTTTAATGACTGGATGGACGTAATAATGGTCTAGCATTGTCCAAGGCATTGGTCTTTCTCTGAGGTTTAACACAGATGACATGATTTGTCTGCCTAAAACTCTGTGTAGGATCAGAGTCTCAGAGAGACAGTGTCATTTAATGAATCATGAGCACAGCTTCCAGTAGCATTTGGTGGCTTTTGTCATTCCTGAACAGTGTACCTGAGGGCTTGGGAAGCAGAATAAAATGTGTGTAGTTACTATAATTTGTTATATTGCTTGCTACAATACTTGCTACAGCATTGCAGTAGATGATGTTAAACTGTAGGATGTTTGATTTAAACTTTACACGGACCAATTACAACATTCCCTATTTAAACTTCTACAAAGAAAATAGTAATTTTACCTCTTTTCCTGCTATTAATGACCCACTTTCCATAGAGGGGGAAAAAGCAGTAATGCACAATTAAAGTAAAAAGATGTGCTACTAATTACCGATATACTTAATGAGTAGTTCTATCACACAATAGGTATTTCCTCTACTTGTGTAAGAAAAGGTGGAATCTTTTTTTCTAATGAAGTGCAAGTGCAGAGTTAAGCTGTAGAAAATGTGGAAGAAACCAGTTACCTGCTGACATATCCTTTCAGTAGAGTACTTCCACTTTTTTAACAACTAGTAGATTTAATAACTAGTATACTTGATGTAACCAGGTAGACATTTAGAATAAACTACTATGAGGTAAATAGCTGTTTAAATTGACACCAGTTACTTAAATTTGCTTCAAATGCAGTTTACTTTACACAATTTATTTCAAGGCTGATTTGCTACATACTGCTGCTGCTCTACTGCTGTGTGATAACTTAGTAAGCTGTAGAAACTTAATCACTTAAATGAGTCTTAACCCAACATTTCAGTGTTTAATTAATCAGGAAAGTCAAGTACTTAACTTTTTGGATCCCTCCTAACCTGAGTAACTGATTTCTATGAATTCATCTAACCACAAAATGGGTAAGGTTTGAAGAGACCACAGTGAATCATCTGGTCCAACCTTCCTGCTCAAGCAGGATCATCCTATGGCACATGGTACAGGATTGTGTCCACACAGTTCTTGAATATCTCCAGTGAGGGAGAATCTACAATATCTCCAGGCAATCTGTTCCAGCTTGGCAAACTGCACAGTAAAGAAGTTCTTCCTCATGTTCAGGTAGAACTTCCCATGCATTAGTTTCTGCCTGTTTCCTCTTGTCCTATTGCTTGGCAGCACCGAGAAGAGCCTGGCTCCATCCTCATCACCCACTCTTAAGTTTTTAATATCTTAATATTTATACATATTAATGAGTATAATGACCACCTCTCAGTGGTCTCTTCTTGAGGCTGAATAGGCCCAGCCCCCTCAGCCTTTTTTCATAAGAGAGGTGCTCCCTTGATCATCTTTATTGCCCTCCCCTGGACTCACTCCAGGAGCTCCATATCTCTCTTGTCCTGAGGAGCCCAGAACTGCACACAGTGGTCCAGAGGCAGCCTCAATAATTGCTCTAGACAAAGCAGACATATTCAGTCACAGCTTTTGGAAATTATTAGTATGCCCTGATGATCATGGTTTTCATTATACCATAAATGTGGAAAAATAGCAGTTCCCTTTGCTCTTCCACATCAGTTGAACCACTTGGGGAAAAAAAAAAAATTCTTTACTGTCATGTGACAAAAAATGCTTTATTCTAAACTTAACTGCCAAGTTACTCAATTTGAATGTCTGAAGTTTGCTTTTTCATGTAGGAATTTTTGATTCTAATAACTAACAAATCAATTTCTTTTCAGTGTAATTTGAAACTGCCTTACTTGAACATTATGCACTTTGTCAGCACACTCCCTAGCTAAGTGTTACTCCAGACAATTGAAATATGAAAAAAGTAACGAACTGTGTGTTTGTTAAATCTTCTAGCTAAAAAGAAGAAGAAGCCAAAGCTCTTAAACAAGTTTGATAAGACCATTAAAGCTGAACTAGATGCTGCAGAAAAACTACGTAAAAAAGTAAGTTTTAAATGTTTCACTCAGGACAGTAGACAGTGGACAAAAACTGAATAAATTAAAAACTTGGAAAAAGGGAGAATGAATTTTAGACTACTTTTTGTGAAATTAACTTTGTGAAATATTCAGCGCATATTTGTCCTTCAAGTTTAATTTCTGCTGGATAGTTTATCTTAAATTTTTTGGTTGTAAGCATCTGTCTGTTCGTATTTGTTTGCTCACTGTTGATCTTGAAAATGTGTAGCTTAATCATTGAATTTCTGCTTAAATGGATCACGTGGAACAGGGTAGTTCTGTCCTGTCACTTTGTCCAGTTGATTACTGAAGTTGAGTGCTACCAGAGGAGTTTGTGTGTGTTAGCAGGAATCTCTCAGTAAGTGCCTGGAAGTTCCTCTGCTGCTGTACAGCTGCTTAGGGGACAAAACAGATGTTCCTGCTTCTTGCCAGGGGCATCAAGACCTTGATGTTAATCAGTCAGTCAGGTTGGGTAGTTCTGAATTTCATAACTTGACCATAACAAACAAAAAAAACCCCAAGCTCTTCAGTCATCTCCCCTTATAGCTTCCAATTTTATACTTTTATTTGAATATTTCAGAAAATAATGCTTTTGCAGAGATGTTCCTTTTCCAGATATGAGATTAAATAGTGAAGGAAGACTGTGGCTGTTAAAAATGAGAGACTTTAAGTCTTTTAAATGTAGTTCTTGTTAAAACTCTGATATGTCTAGAAGACAGTCCTAGCACATAAAGAACAATCACAGATCTTTGCTGTACCCTAGATTTGAGGTGGATAAGCAGTGCGATACACTATTTTCAGTAAAACAAAATAAAAACCAATTTGGTCATTGCAGGTGCAGGATTATTCTTGATTTTCAGGACATACTTTGCAGTTTTGACTTTATCTTGCCATCTATGCAGCCCCAGAGTTCTGGAAGGTCTGTGATGGGACTGGAGAGCTATTGCATAGGGAGCACTAACCTCTGGCAGCCCCTGCAGCAGTTCCTCACTAGAAACCTTCTTTACATGCTAGAATACCGAAAAAAATTTTTTAAAAAAAAGGAATTTTCATGCTTCTTATTGCTTAAGCAATTAGTTAATCTGAAATAGGCATAATAGAAACATTTGATGAGCCTGTAGGGTCAGCTGCTTGACTCTTTTCCTGCTCTTTTTCTTGGTAAGTTATATAGGAATCAGATGTGTATAATATTTGAAGATATCAAGGCAGTTGTGTATGATTTATACACAGATAACTCGTATTTATAAAGCTGTAAAGAGGTGGAAGTGGCAGCAAGGTCTATTGCCAAACATTGCCAAGCAGTTCTTAGCACCTCTTTAACAGTGGGGTTGGCTCCTCTGAAGGTCCATCAGGAGAATACCACAGGTACCATTACATTCAGGCTTGTAGTTATGATACAGTTCATCATAAGAGTTATGCAGGGGGAAAATTTCCACCTATGTCTAGAGTTGTCTTCCTATTCTCTATCATTTTTGGTCTGAAATTTGTTATTAGCAGTAGGATCTTTACTTTTTTATACAGACAGGTTATTTTCACCTTGGCATTTTATCCAGTCAACAAAGGGAAAGTGAATAAAGTATGAAAAATGAAGTTATTAATTTTAACCATGGAAAGTAGATTATATTGTTTCATAAATAATGACAATTATTTCCTGCATCTTTCAGCATTTTTATTGGATAGAATTGCTGATAAATATCTCTACTTTTCAGGGAAAAGTTGAAGAAGCTCTAAGGGCCTTTGAAGCATTAGTGAATCAATATCCACAAAGTCCTCGAGCAAGATACGGGAAAGCACAGGTACCTAGGAAAAAAATGATAGGTGTTGAAAAAGGCTAAAATAAACATTTTGTTTTACCAGTAGAGTTATAGACACCAGTTGGAATTAATTTATAAATTTGTGGAGGTTTCCTAGGTAAAAAAAATAATCATGTGATCTGTCATACTGTATCTCTTTCAGTCAACCGTCCTTCCCCAATTACCTTGGCAGCTTTTGTGGAACTTCAGTGGGAAGTATTGTAAATAACAAAAAAATAAGGTACATCCTGTAGATCTGAGGAGAACTGTCAGGTGAATGGCAAGAGATAAATACCACGTAATGGCCCAGTGCAGGAACAACAGGCAGAACCTCCCTGTTACACACTATTTGCTGTACCTGGTAAATCAACATATCTGTCAGGGATAAATGCTGCTTTTTGCTCTAGTGGGAATAGAAAAGAGGATTTGGAGTTTTTAGAGAGAGTTAAAGGATAAAGAACACAAATTCTCAGGCAGTGAGGCTTAATTAGCTTTACTTGTGGAGTGAGTTATGTTTTAGGTGTTTCCTTCAAAAAAATAAACCAAAGCCCAGAAGAGATCAGAAAATAATCTCTGCATTTATTATACTTTTAGATTGTGTTGAGATGTCTCAAAAGGGAATAATCTTTGAATTTTCCTAAATACTAGGATAATCCTGCTGCAATAAAAGACTCCTTGAACTCATGTTAATCAGGATGAACAAAGTGAAGCCCTCGCTGTAGGATAGAATGGTGCTGTTGGACAATTGATGGGACCTTGGAGTCACAACCAGTTTCCACTTGGTTAATAATAGTCATGCTTAAACCAAAGCTGTGATTATCCAAAAATCTGTCACACAAGCACTTGATACGCAGAGACCAAATGCTTCAGTGTCCTCTGTGGTAACAGTCTGCTGAACTCTTTGCCTCTTTACAGTAGGAGACCACTTTGTTCCTACATGTGATGAACTTAGCTCTGTTAAGTTACACTTTTAACAGTTACCAGTTTTTACAAATCTACTCATTATATCTAACAGAATATGCTTCCTGCCTCCTCAATGGCTTTAGGAGAAGGGCAGATCACTGCAGCTAGTTCTGAAATTTATTCTCATAGAGAATTCCCACCTCAGTGACCCAACTTCCTTTGTCCATTTCTAGCAATTTGTAGTCACTTACTACTACTTTAGCAATCCATGAAAGGTCAATACAGACCAAGATCTGAGGAAATTGTTATATGTGTTTTCTGGGAGTGTGTAAAAACAATAAATTCATTTTCTCTAGCCTTTGAAGGTTCATACTAGTCATCTTACTGAACAGTTATAGAAATATTACCAATGACAATTTTATTGAAGCCAGTATGTGTAAGTTCAAGCTGTTTGAAGGAATAGGAAAACCATTGGCATCAGACAGACAAATGACTAAGATTTGCACTGTAACAGAGTATATTTTAAAACAGGTATTCATACCAACAAAATGCATTTAAATTTGCTATTTCTCATCACTAACTAAAAGCGAAGCTGCAAAGAATAAGGTTAAAGGCCTTGAAGGTTAAAGGTGAAGAAGGTCAAGAATTCACCACAGAACTGTACTTCTCCATTTCTTTGAAGCATGAACCAACATTATGTGCTAATTTTGTAGATTAGATTTTTAATAAGACATGAGGATTGATTTTTTTTTTCTGTATCTTTTAATGGCTTTAAAAGGCAACTGTTTTCCAAAAAAGTCTGCAAAATATTTCATTATTGATGTGGTTTTCAGAAATATGAGTAATTCTTTATTTGATACCTGAATTACACTTGAGCCAGATAAAATTATACTCTACAGAATTTATTAACATCTTTACAGCTGGAAACAACAATAGGTTTTTAACCTCCTTATATGATTTCTACTGGTGAAGTTATGCAGATTTTATGCTAACAGTTTTTGCTTCTTTGTTATGTATCTTTAATATTATTTGCCCTGCAATTCCTTTGAAAAAAGAGAAATCAATTTCAAATAGCGATTGTACATCAGAAAAAATAAGTTATTGCTTAAAACTGATTTCTGAATTTGTCTCTGAAAAATGCTTGATGAACTGTTTAGCTGACTAACCATACTTTTTGGTATTTCCAATACTAAGTTTTAAAGCAACTGAAGGAAAAAATTAAAGGACAGAAGTGCAAAAAGATTTCAGATACTTGCTATAACATACAGATAACACAGTTGAAGCAATTCCATTTAATTTGTGTCTTTGATGCAACAGTGATTTTAAATAGACCAACAACAGCTTCTGCACCATCATGCTTGTGATACATCTGCCATGGCTCTTGCCTTAAGAAAGAACATAATCCAATAAATATTGTAGTATTTGAGAAGAATGCATTAAACATGAGAAAATTCATGCATTTATATGAACAATTCAAAGTAAGCCTTAAAAAATTCTGCATTTGAGACAGTCATTTGCAGCTATGGAAGCAAAGTATGAACATGCCTTACCACAGGTGAGATCAGTCATCGCTTCTGTTAGATTCATTGAAGCTGTAATTTCACTGTAGAGTGCTCATATATCCTTTGATCTGCTTCTGAATTTGATGAACAAGTTTAAGTTTTGAAGGACTTGTAGGGTTCATATTCTATCAATGCATGCAAGGCAAAAGGCAATTCCTAATTCATTTTGGAAGAAAGAGTGTAAATAAATTTGTCAGAATAGATGAAAATGTTTGTTGGTGTGTTTTGATTTGTGTATTGCTTCCAGAGTGAGGTTTAGTATACAAATAGTCCATAGACAAAATTTTGCATTTCTTCTGTGTTATTAAAACAGATTGCTTCATCTGTTTTTGAAAGCAGAAATGATGAATTCTACAAATATTAATCAAAATTTGTGTTAATGAATGTTTTAGGTGCAAATTTTTTTATACTTCTCCTTTCAAACACTTTGTAGGTAACAAGATTTAATGGTAATTCTAGTGTACTTTCCCATAAAGCACAACCCATAGTCTAAAAATTGCATAGTTTGCCTGGTAAGAAAATAGTTGGTTTTAAGATTAACAGATTACTATGTGTTCTAATAATGGTTTTGTTGTTCTTTCTAGTCCGAAGATGACTTAGCTGAGAAAATGAGAAGCAATGAGATGCTGCAACAGGCCATCAACACTTATGATGAGGTGGTTAGTTTGCCAAATGTCCCTTCAGACCTGATAAAACTGAGCTTGAAGCGAGAAGCAGACAGGCAGCAGTTCCTTGGTAAGTTTTGAGGATGGTATAAAAATTACAGCAGTTGTCTGAGCAAGGATTTCAGACATCACTAAGGATTTTAAAGTGATAATTCCACTGAATTTTTGGTTGAACTTGTCTTCCTAGTATCTTAAATGAAAACCATTTTTACATTATTTAATTTTTTTTCTAGGGAACTAATGTCAATAATTTAGGATAATAGTGCCTGTAGAAAGCTGCAGCAGATGCTATGACAAGCTACGATGATAGGTGGTCAAACTTTTTATTTACAAGGAAGAAAGAATTCTGTGATGTATGAGAAATGATGATTAGAATATGAGGCACCATCAAGAGTTCTCTTCCCATGGGCTGGATTTTTAATATCAAGTTGTTTTGATCTCGCTTTTCCTTAGCAAGACCTCATTTAGGAAGTCAAGGATCATACTTAATTTTAAGCACATAAAGCATGACAACCTTCATAATGGAAGTAGACAAGAACTTACTTAACGTTGGAAATTAATTAAGATGAAGTTTATTATTATATGTTTACTTAGTTTTGTCCAGTACTTTCCTCCAAAGATTAAATAATGTTACTTCTGCACTGTGAAAGGTTCTCCACAAGAGGCTGCCATAACACTGCGTGATTGCAGTGATTCTGTGAAATATTCCTGGTACAACTACACCCACAGTGACAGCCAGGCAGCTAAATGTGCTCCTGTCTGCACCAGTTTTTCCATCTTTTCCTTCTTGATTGTCAGTGAAAGTGGACCACTTGCCTCTGATTTGTGTTTCCTTAGATGTTGTGTAAATGTCTTGCTACTGTTTCTTATATCTGCAGTTGTAATTAAGTCTTGTTCAATCAAATCAGGTCGCATGAGGGGTTCCCTGGTTACTCTGCAGAAATTAGTTCAGCTTTTTCCCAGTGAGACTTCATTCAAGAATGACCTTGGTGTTGGTTACCTCTTGATAGGAGATAACAGCAATGCTAAGAAAGTATATGAAGAGGTGAGTTTCCATTCCTGACAAGGAAAATGATTGTTAACATTATGTTCATTTCAAAGTTTGATAGATTTTAACTTTTTTTAGTTGTTAAATATATCACATGTGAGATTTTGAAGGGTTAATACGGATACATTTTTTTTTCTGGTGCAGTTATCTTTAATTTTAATTAATATTTTCTGATAGTGTCATGCTAAGTTTTTCCTCATTGACAGAGGAATGCAAATTATTTCCCTATACTCAACTCTTCTACCTTCTGGTAGTCAGGTTTGGAATATATTGATAACACATCTAAATGTATTGTACTTAACATGTAATATGTAATGCATACTATAAAAAAAGAAGAGATAACCAATCTTCAAGACAAGGAAAGCAGAAGTAAATCAGTTTCTTTACAGGAACAGCATCTCTAACCATGTGATCAAGTAGATCAGTACTCACAAAGCTATTTAACCTTAGTTTTTTCGTCTTTCTATAAGCAGCTTAAAATCTGTTTTTCATTCATGATGTTTGTAGTGTGGACAATTCATTGGAGTTATATTTCTGTCTATGCTATTGTTATCTGGCTGGGGAAACTTTACTCTCAGGAAAGGCCACTCTGCTCCTGTGATCTAGAAACCTTGTTAACATCTGGAAACTGTCTGAAAGATGTGGAGTCTGACATCACTGGTAGAGCACAAACTTGACCAGAAATGGTCTTGTTGATGTTGGCACGCTTGTGGTGCTTGTGTAGGACAGTCTTGGTGGGGTAATTGGCTGTTTATGGAGGCTGGAAAGGGATCAGCAGGATTAGTGCCACCTCCTGAGAATAAAGGCCCGATTCTCCATCCCCCACATCTGGGAGGCTGAAGAGATTCTCATCTCTGATAGCTTCTCAAAGAGAAGGAGGATGTCCAACCACCTGGTTCGAAGCAGAAGCTAAACACTAGGAATACCATTTTTTTCCCTCAGGCTCCTCTGGTTGTCTCAGATGTTGCCAGAATAATGTTTGCTTTGCTACTTTGGCTACTTTTTAGATCCTTCCATAAAATGTTTCTGTCCGATGATTTTTGGCTTGCTGTCAAAATTTTTCAGAGGATTGGAAATACTGGCTTTTTATACAGAATTTATTAAACAAACCTAGTATTCAAGCTGCAAGGAATTTAAGAAAACAAAAACATACTCCTTTTGGTCAAGATTTCCCTGTGCAATTATTCAGTGTTTTGTCACAAACAACATAATTGTTAGAATAAAGGATTTTTATACATGGAGGAAGGTAATGAATCTGCTATATAATTACTTTGATACTGAGTTTTATATACTTCAGAAGAAATATATAGGGGTCTGATTGAGAACAGGTCTGCAACTGGTTTGCTTTTAGCATATTGTTTCCCAGTCTTCTTCATCCAGTGTAATTACTCTGTTTCACAGTTCACTAACACTGAAATAGAACAGAGCATAGTGGTGTTCTCTCATTGCAAGAGGAAGACAAATTTATTTTTTTTAAGACTTGAATTAATTTTTTTTTAAATCATGGTGGGTTTGTCCATATTTTACATGTTACTAAGGCTGAATTCCAACACAATAATGTAATTTTTTTGTTGTAATTCCAGATAAATTTACACTAAGGATTTTAAGAAAGAATACCCAAAGAAACAGGGAGAATCTCATGTGTTACCTGCTTTGGTTCTTGGTTTTACTGAAGGCTTCTTGCATGATTTTGGGCAGATTGCTTAGGGGCTACATGGCCTGTTTTGGAGTGCTCTCTCTGCTCAACTATTGCAATGCTTATTTAGGAAGTGCTTGGTTTTGAGATCCTACCAGAGGTGCTCAGATTCTCTGCATGGTAGAAAAAAGGGCACACTGAATAGTGGTTCTGAGGGCCTCAAGGATATGTCTTGCTCTTCCCATGGGGAAAAACACTGGGAAAGTTGAAAACACTGGGCAACTTCTGAAGTGTGACTAAGTCCTTCTCACTTGTGTAATCTTTTGATACAAAAATGTTAAAAGAGCACAGACAAGAGCATGAACTCAGTGCTGCAAAGTAGTTACCTCCAATATTTATGAATCCTGTATTCTGTTTCCCACTGTAGGGATGTTCATACATTTTATTCAAGTGTTCTTTAATGCAGAAAGTGCAGACATCTTAGAGTTCAGTACACATTCTCAAGAGAACATAACCCTTAATCAACTTAAAGTCTCTGTTTTTTGTTGATTTCCCTCTAGCCTTGTTCATGGTTGTCTAAGTTCCTGTGTATTTGATACTTGTTTCTGCTGCTCAGGAAAATTCCCAAGTATTTAAATACTCTTCTCTGTGGAGGAACTTAAACTCCAAATTTCCCATTTCCAGGGAATCTCCTAGATTTATGGGCAAAATCTTAACTTCCTGCTGCAACATTTCAGTTTCAATTCAGTGTTACTGATCTGTGTTAAGCATGCACTGAGCACATGCAGCCAGATGAACTCTTCACAGGTACTGTTCCCTCCATGGGATCACAGTACATACCATTTCAGACCAGACTAACCTGAGCTTGCATCATCTCCAAGGAATTGAATAGGAGCCCAGGAAATCCTAGTGGATGAAAACTTTCTGGTTTTCCTTTACATTAAATAGCCAGTTTACTTATTTTCCAGTCAATTCTTATTTCTCTTTCCAAATTTGTTACATCTTAGCAGCTTATTTTAAAACTCTTTAATATATTCTTATAGTTTCTTTTTTTAGCTACAGAAGCAATGTGTATAAACACTGAACTTCAGACCAAGAGGGTTTTTTGCTTCCAACTGTAGTGTGGTACAGTATAACTTGCCCAAAATATACTTTTCTAGTTTGTGTTTGCCAGAATTTTTGCTGAACCACAGATGGAAAATGGTGTCCAGTTGGAGAGGATTTCAGTTTTGCCTCAAATATTAAATAATTTTCCTTTGAACATTGCACTTAGGGACATGGAAACATAATGTTAAGGGTAATCCTCATAGAACTCAGAGCTATTTGTATTTTTAAAGAAAACATAACTTTAAAAGTAGTCCTGGTAGAATTAGAACTATTTTTGGTTCAAACATCCACAGATTATAAAAAAATAGAGAATTTTGTAAGACTGGTTGCTCAGCTAATAGCACTTTTTCTGCCTGCATGCTGAGGCATGTGTGCATGGTTCAGTGAAGCATTATAAACGTGCATAAGCCAGCTCTGGCTGAGCTATCTCAGGTACCAAAACCAGAATATCCACATGAACTCAGTACTCTGCCCTGGCTAATTAGCCACTGCTAGCCCCAGAGGTTAATTTCTATATTCATGATTAGTATTTAATGGGCTATGAGCAGTTTAGTAAAACTTATTTCTAAACATAATTAATATTGCATGCAGCAACAGCAACAGAGTAATACAATTTACATTAAATACTTCCAGTGTAATTTCTGCTGATTGTATCTCTTTGCTGCTCTTTAGGGGCTCTGAATGTAGATCATTCCTTAATGCAACTCGGCATAGTTTAAATGAACCGTAATACAGAAAATTCTATTCTGTCTTAATTAATCAGATAGCTTTATCCTATAGTTAAAGAAACTGTAACAAAATTATGTGGCTAATAAGTATTTCTGTCAGTCATTTCATTTCACCCTGCAGGTACAGATTCTTGGATCAAAATAATTATACACAGAATGCTGTAGTCAAAAGGCATAAGATGCAGAAGGTGGTAGTGTGTTCTTATACTAGGGATCAAGCTTACCCTTACTCTGGTATTTTTCTAATAATGTCTCATACTGTGGACTTCCAATAGATTCTCAAATTGCTTGTTCCTTAATAATAAGTCTTTTCTGTGACAAGAAGTAAAATGCTGCTATATTTAACTCATAACATTTTGTATTCTCACACCTGTGATTTTTTGTTTTGCTTGGATGTAGTTGCTGTGTCTAAAATATGAGAAAAGAGAGACATTAGTCCAGAAAACTACTTATGATTTTGCTTGTAATTATTTTGATTGAAAAGTGATATCAGACAGTGACTGGAAAAGGCAGAGGGAAATAACTATAGTGTATGCAGGCATTTTATCCATGGCATAAGTTACGTAGCTACAAAAATGGATTTAGGCAAGATAAACTGCTCATCTGTCTGTTGTTTTGTACTTAGCAGCTGTCTAGACATTCAGTGGATATCAGCCTCTGTAATTCCACTGCCTGCCAGGCTCCTGTGATGATCCTCACAGACTGAGGGTCTATCCTGATAAGACTGTCCACTCTTATTTTAAGGACAGAAGAGGTGTAAAAACAGATTAACTTAACCATGTAATTGATATTGCATAGAGCTAAAAATTTTATTGAATATGTACATCATAGAAATGCAGAGATGAAAAGTAGATCAAGACATTCTCTAATCTAATTTTTGCCCTTGCTGAGGCGGACCAAATGCACTTATATCGTCTGACTGGTGTTGGGGGTGCATGTTTCAGAATTCAGGTTGGCAGCTTCACACCTCCTTCCCCTGAAACACTGCCCCATATACTGATCCTTTTCTACAGCTGTCCCTGTACTCACAAATCCTTCTCTTCCACAGTCTCCATGAAATATCCATCTCTGGACATTTGCCCATTAGTTTCCCTTTTCTGCAAAATTAAGCAAGTTTGTAATTCAGATGTGATCTGAATCTTGTTGAGGGTACAAAATCTTTTAGCTGAATTTAGCATGCTTGGTCTTGGTCAAAGAGTGCAGCACACAACTATAAAAGAATAATTTATCCATCAACTTCTAGTGTGAAAGCACATTGAGTCACCACTGCAGTAGACTTTTTATTACCTCCTTTCTCATGGCCAGAAAAGTGCACACTGTTCCAGAGAGCGCTCCCGTTCACCACTGTGCTGAGACTGCCCTTGGTGTTCCAGGGTTTGCACATCCCCACCTCATGATGCTGGCATTACATTTCAGCTTCTTTCTAAATTGCAGTCATTATGCTTCACGTATTTTCTCTTGCAAAAGTTAGTTTGCCCCCATTGGAAATCTGTCTAATTTAAAACTTTTTCAGGTATGTTTCTGCTGCAGATTTTTTCAAGAGTAGCTGCTTACCTTCTGATTAGTCAAACCTGGAATAAGTAAATCAAATGTTAATAGTGGGTTAAATTCTATATTGTAGGAAGCTATACCTCAAGAGAGAAATGTAGAAAAGGACAGACAAGTGAAAAATAAAGAAAATTCTGTTGGAATAATTTTACTTCTGAGACTTCAAAGTTTGGCTCATCTGGAGAAAGCACAAAAGTGAATGAGGAAAAGGAAGCACAGACAAGCCAAGGGTTTACCTGAGAATCAGTAAAGGAAGAAATTACCATTAGATTAATAAATAGTCCTATGTAAACAAGTTTGTTAATTTGCATAGATTCATACAGGTATATTTAATTAATTTTCTCTCAAACAGGTTCTAAGTCTGGCTCCAAATGATGGTTTTGCCAAAGTACATTATGGCTTCATCCTGAAGGCAGAAAACAAGATAGCAGAGAGCATACCTTATCTACAGGTACCTTTTCACCCACAATAAATGTTTCACCAACAAAATGTAGAATTGGAATGTATAAAATGTGTCAGACTAGAAGTGTACTAATTACAAATTACTGCTTAAGCTATTTGTTAGAGTTATACTGGTGTATTACTGCTTATGAACTGGAACAAGCTTGTGCATTGAAAACAATCAATTCTTAAACATCAATTTTATGTTATTTGTTTTATAAATATTTGTTTTATTAATTAAATAAATTAATAAATAATAGATAATTTTAAAAATTAATGAAATTGGGGCTAACCCAAAGTATAGAGCTCTGAGCCTCAAATTCTTTTGAGGTTGGTAGAATGCTGCAAACCTAAAGTTCTTGAAAGATCCATAGAAGCCTTACATATACTGCTGAGGGTTTGGGAAGAAATACTACAAAATAAAACCTTAATCCAGCTTTATAAAATGCTTATGTATATGTTTATAGAGCCAGAGGTAAGTATCCATCTCTGAATATGCCTCTGTCTTGGAAGGACTGAGGGGAGAGGCTGTGGGATTTGGAAAACTGGTAACATTCCTCAATGACTTTCTACTGACATTTTGTATTCATCCAGTTTAAGTTCCAGGTTACCATGGTGGTTGCATTTTCTATCTAATTTCATAGCCTGTCTCTTGCATAGGATTGACTGACTATTTACAGCAATCAAATGAACTCTTCTAGAAGTCCTACTGAAATTTTCTTATACCTTTAATTTTTATTTTTTTATTTATTAGGAAGGACTGGAGTCTGGTGACCCTGGCACAGATGATGGACGTTTTTATTTTCATCTGGGTGACGCGTTACAGAGAATGGGAGACAAAGAGGTACATGTTTAACATCTCCTTACTTTAAAATCTAAATCTCTGAGTGGCTGGGCTGCAGAATCCAAAAGAGCATTTAATGATGGGCTTAATAATGTTGAAAACAAGAGTAGTCTGAACAATCCGGCCTGCGTGTGTAGAAGTCAAGATGAACAGCAGCAAAAAATCTGTCATAGGCATTGCAACACAACCTCAGCATTCCTTCTTTTAGATTTAACTTAAAACATTTAAGCTGGCATAGGGCAGTTTGAAACAATGGACTAAAAATCTACAAGAATTTTAAATGTTTCTAGAATCTGTTTTCTGCTTATATCACTTACAACATAGATTTTAATGAGAGTTAAAAGAATTATGTGTATATTACCGTGTAGAAGTTCTTGTATGACAGTGTTTTGTAAATGTTCCTTTCTTTCCAAGGAAAAAGCACCAATGAGTATGTGATAAAAGAGGATCATGAGAGAACTGAATATGTGGGCTGAGTTATGAAATTTTTTCAATATCTAAGTTAGCAAATGAATCAGGAAAACAGAAATTTGTACTACGTGTCTGTTGAGTGGCCAGCAAAGACAAGCATATGACACTGGAAGCCCTAAGAGTTTCTCTTTTGTTTATTTGAAATCAAATTATACTTACAAACAAAATTAAAAAGTATGAATTACCACTGTGGTCATGGTAGCGGAGCAAAGGACCTTTTTTGAAGACTCTGATTAGTCATGAACTTTAATATGGGCATGAATTAAAAAACAACAGGAAAAACGAAAACAACATTCCAATTCCTAGGTGGGAAATATGAAAAGAATAAGCATTAAAAATAAGAGTAGAAGTAGCCTTGAAAGTCACTGCTTTTTAATTACTTACCTAGTAATGTGTGCAATATTAATACCTAAAAAACTGTAAAAAATGCTGATGTCTTTAGTACTGTGGCCCAATCAGTAGGTTGTTCTCCAGTATGGGGAACCAAATGGGCTGTGATGAAGACTCTGTATGTGATCTTTCTCAAGCCTAGTTCATCAGGTTGACTTTTTTTTTTAATAATTCATGAAACTTTTATTACAAAACTTTAACTTACAGTAGATCTAGAACAGTGACATGTAATATCTGAATTTTAAGTTAGATTGCCTTCCCTGCAATACTATTCCAATGAGATTTTTTTTTAAATTGTTCATTTTCAAGTGAGAATTAGTTTACTTCATTTTACTTAGAAACACATGCACACACAGACATACAGAGTCTGCTTTCACACTCTCTGTCTTCTTCTCTCAAATCCCTGTACGTTTCCATGGGACACTCTGGGTTGAGTTTCTGAGCCTAGAACATCCCATTGCCGTGTTTGACTAAAGACACCACACAGATGTAATTAATGTACATCATCTCTAACCCCAGGATAATTATGTGTTAATGTTTTGGAGATAATGGCCAAATCTGCTGTAGAAAAAGTTTAATTAATGACAAATTAACTTCTTGGGATAGAGGAGACTTCTAAATTTATCAGTGGAAAGTCCATTGTTCAGCTAAATTTTTCTCACTGACCTTGCTGGACTTGCTGAATTTCAAGATTTAATCAAGGAAATAGATCAATATTTAAGTTACATGTGAAATTGCTATCACTGAAGGTTTGTTGAAGGGAGATATTAATCTATTAGAGCTAAATTAGGAGTTATGAATGTGGCCTTGGGAAGTGTTAGGGAAAAACAGTATTGAGTATGCCCTTTCCAGCTATAATTTGATAAAATGCCATATTGGCTTAAGAAAAGGGAAATTGAAACCATGGAAGTTATTACAAAACAAAGCACTCTTCACACAGAATGTATAAACTGAGTGCATCTCATACAATTTCTATCTTGGAAAAGAGCTACACTGTTGGAGCTGTCCATGTTCCACTGCCAAGAGCTGCATGAGAAAAGGAATGTTTCTCACAGCGTCTTGGGAATGGAAAGGGTGAGTGAGGCAGCCTAACCCTACTCCATCCTAGTAAAGGCAACTTCCATAGCTCAATTCTTCTAATAAATAAAGATTACCTGTATTATACATTGTAATTATAGCTGATATATCTTAAAGAGCCGCAACATTCATTCTCATCACTCAGGGGCTGAAACAAGTAGTTCATTCCCCTTATCATTTGGCCTAACTCCAGACATTGCAAATGAATGCAGGCAGTCAGCATGAACAATCTATTGTTATCTCAGTAGTATTACAACTTTGGGGAACAAATGTTATAAATCCTGATGATTCCATTTCAGTTAACCAAGATAACATCGAAATTTAAAGATATACTGTATATTGCACAAGGTAATACACAGTATTTTTTTGACCCATGCACAATTTTACGGAGCTTCTCTAGGGAGAAAAAGATGACAGTTTATATATATGTATATGCTGTTATTCTGTTCATCCACACTACTTTTGTGTCCTTCAAATAAATACTGTAAGGCAACAATGTATTGCAGACTTTCCTCCATACTTTGGGAAAGTTATAAAGATCAGAGTACCACATTTTTTAAAAACTTGAAGAAAATTTACAGACTGTCAACAAGGACTTTGCCCAGTTTCTGTTCAAGGCAAGGATTGCGGCTTGTGTCAGTCCCCCTGCCCTGGAATTATTATTCTCATATTTCCCTACTTAGGTGTCCTGGGGTTTTTTTAGTTTGTGGTGTTTTGGGGGAGGTTGTTTGTTTATTTGGGGATTTTTTAAAATTGTTTTTTTCAGAAATGCTGCAGCTGGAGCAGCAATGCTGGGTAGGAAGGAGGAAGCTCTGTAAAACCTTCTTTATATATGGCTTATGACAGTACTACAAACCCTGGATCTTTCCAAGCATCTTATTTTCTTTCTTTGGTTTTGTTTTTTTTTTCTGCTATGTGAGGGTAAAGCAAGTTATGTAAAGGAAGAGCAAAGACAAGCAAAGGTCCAGTACTAACTTCAGTTAATTAATTGCTGTTGTGTGATCAATTTTGATGTGGCAAAAAATATTTGAAGAAACTCAAGTGCATTTAAGTTTTAAAGAGTTAATGTTTTAGATCTGCAAAGTCATTGCTGTTTTAATCATCACAGCATTTCCACTGGCAGCAGAAAACAATCATCCTAATTTGTAGGTAGAGGAAACAGAGAAAATGAAATTGACTAAGATGAGAAACAATTGGATATTTCAAGTCCAAGGACAGGGCATGAATTACTGGCCCATATTTGATGTGAATGGTTCTGAGATTATCCTGTTTTGTTAATGTTGGACTGGACTCTTTTGGTCAACTGATCTATTTTGTTATTTGGGTTTTTTTGTTTGTAAGTGTTTTTTTTTCCTTGAAGTATTCATTAGTACATTTTATTAAAAGAATAACCCCAACATCCAAAGAGATAGCCTGCTACCTTTCCAGAAAGTGTTACTTTTTTCATTTAGGAGCTTGGCTGATATGAATTTGGTTGTTAACAACTACAATGTTTTAGGCATACAAGTGGTATGAACTTGGATACCAAAGAGGTCACTTTGCATCAGTTTGGCAGCGCTCCCTCTACAATGTCAAGGGACTGAAAGCTCAGCCTTGGTGGACAGCAAGGGAAACTGGATATTCAGAACTGGTGAAGGTAAGGCTTCATTATACTTTTATTTTTATTAAAATTGCAGCTATAATTTCAGTTATTAAGCAGAGAAAATGCTAATCAATAAGGTCAGAACTACTGACTGAATTCCCAACACTGCTGTCAGACTGAGCACAAGACTTAAGTAAGATACCATAAAACAAGCTTAGACATTTTCAAATTTGAGAATGGGGACAGGATGGCTGAAATTATTAACAAATACAAAATTTGCATGGTAGACAAATGCAACATCTCAAGCGGAAAATGACAGCACAATTTGGTAATGTCTGGAACACCCATTGTGAATTTTTAATTAGTCAGGAAAGGCAGTGCTTTTGAGCCATTGTGTAATATTTAGTGGCTTTGGAAGCTTTCAATTGTATGAGAGAAACAAGTGTGGATTCCCAGTGACAGTTTTAAGAAAAGATAATAATGCAGAATTTAAATTCTTTAGAATGTTTTTTATTTATTTAATGCAAGGCAAGTAGTGTGGTTATTGTTCATAACATTAGCTTTTATCTGCAAAATTGCATTTTTTTTATTAATAAAAACAATAATAATTCCTAAAATTTTTTTTAAAAAAATAGGAAGACCTTTTTTTTCTGTGTGCATCAATTATTGGTTTGTGGTTTAAAGAAAACATTAGGGATAAATAATTTAAAACCAAAAAAGTATATTTCTAAAGAACAAATTCCTTCAGAGTGGTTGTTTCTTTACACTTAGTTATGTAGCATATTTTAAAAAGAAATTGAAGAGTGGTTAGGAAAAAAAACATAAAAGTAGTTATAAAAGGAATATTGCTCTTTGCTATGGTTTTGTTGGCAACAAAAATAAGGCTAGAAATTTAGATTGAAGTGTGATTCTCCAGTGTAATTTCAGCCACACCAAGAAGCAGAGAGATTTATGGACTAGTACATGAAATATGCTCATTTTGAACTAATTATTGAGGTATGTGTGGGAATGGATGCCTCTTGCCATAAAAGATATGGAGAAACTGGGAACTTTTTACTATGTTTCTCTCAAACAGAAAGGAAATATACATATTATTTGATTGGTGTTTTAGAGCTACATGCAGTGTTGTTTTACAGTTCCTTACGTGTAAACCTTTCACATTCCTATGTCACAGAAGGTAATGATCTATTCACCCTTGGCATGAATAAGCTTTGAAGGGTGAAATAATTCAGTTGTTGTTGCAAAATGGCCAGAACTTCAAGCTTGAAAGGTTTTTTTCGGATTGATCAGGCTGTATATGGAGGCCTTGGTTTGGATCAGCACCCAGAGTGGCTCCTAGAAGAGCTGCTCAGAAAACCAGCAAGGACAAAAATTGACCCCTGACCCCACAGTACAACTGCCTCTCTGGAATTCAATAATACCTTTTCATTCCAATCATTTGGTGATATATATTTTAGCTGTTTTATTAGCAATATGTCAGTGAATCTAGATTAAATTGTGACTGGTAATTTACTTGCACAGGTATCATAATTGGGAGTGGCAAGATTTAAATTCTTAAAGATAACACTCACAATTAAAATATAAAGCCAAAATGTAGTTATATAAATCAGGACAAATATTTGTACTTTTTTTTGTAATTAAAGAAAGTACTTGAAATTTTGAAAGAAAGCAGGTTTGATATTAATTGCTTACAATGTTGTAAGCAATGTAGTAGTATTCTTCAGGAAATAGCAAAAAAAATATTGATGACATTAGTTTTCTAATTTCTGAAGTACTCAACTTCTGTACCTGGTTTAGTTAAAAAAAAAAAAAAAAATCCCTTTCTTACAGAGCAAAACCAATCAACAGTTATTTCCTACTGCTTCATTTCATTACATTCCTCTTACGACTGTGTGGGAAATGCGGGAAATGCTTCCAAATCACAGTGGTAGAATTCAATATGTGTACAGCACTGGAAGCCTGACCCTCTCTCTGAGTTTCACTGCTTGTTAAATGGGAATGAACTATTTTCAGTAACTTGGTATCTTAATACTATCTGAGCATTTATTTGTGGCTGGGGCAGTAGTAAAGCTGAACTCTCTTTGGTTCATTCCATTAACCTGCCCAGCTTTGATCAGTGGCATCTTATAGCACAGACCTGGCTTGATTTTCTTATAAAGGGTCATCCAGATTCTTGGGTCTAGAGATGGAGATGTGAGTTTTGACATTGCCTTGCTTTTTCCATAGAAAGCCTAAAGAGAAAATTGTCTTTTTTTCAGTATTCTCAGTTTAATAACTTCCTTCTGAGGGGCATTCAGCTTAACCAGCTATAAACATACAGATCTATGCTAGTCTATGCTAGTTTTTGTTTGCAAGTGAAAAAAAGGGGTATTTCCACAGGATGATTCATTTTTACTATGCTAAATACCTAAGTATGGCATGTCTCCTTTTCTGTCCTACTACTTTACTGATGCTTAACTTCCTGATGGGTAAGGTTAAAAAAAGACAATCTCATACTTTTTCCATTTTAATATTACCTGTTTACCTGAATGTCTTAAGGAAGAGGTTTTTGGTTTGGGCTTTTTTTTTTTTTTTTTTGCGCTGGGGGGAGGTGGGGAAGACTGAGAATATCTCACTAACACTTACCAGGACATAGTCAATCTTAATTAGTGGAACTGTGCTGAAGGGAAGTGAATTTTTTAATCTCTCTGCAGCTCACTGAGGCTTAATGTTTTTCCTTGAAATAATAGGGAGAGGCACCTGATTTGTCAGGGAGGAGAAAATATAAACCTTTATATCAGGAAGGGTGTGGTGAGTGATTTATGTAGAGGTGTTCTTTTAGTGTTTCTGAATTACAGTATTTTAGGCCTTTGGATCAAGGAATTCAAGAAACCATCCTCCTCTTTTGATCTCAGCTGAAAGGAAACCTTACCTTCATCTTTGAAAACCAGTCCTTTTCCCTTGGGACAATTAACTTTCCTCAGCCAGTCATACTGAGTCATTGCTCAGTACTTTCTCCAGTACCTTCTGCAGAACCTCATTTATAGCATTATTCTATTCTGGTACTCATTTAAAAAATAATAAAAGAGATACAATGGTGTTGGATCTTAGAGACTTTTCACTGGTCTGAAATTAATATGTAGGCAATGACTTAAGCAACTTTGTCCTTTCTGCATGTTGTGTCCTTTTACTTTTGGAAAGGACCCAGATGATGCTTTGCCAATTGTTTACTGCAGTGAACAGCTGATTGATTAAAGTAGATCTTGTATTGTTGCTTTTCTCTGATGACTTAGATTTTATTAATTAAAGTTTAAAGTGCAGCAAGAAAAGTGCAGAAAGACAATGAAAGTATTGGCAACAGCACATATCTTTATAATTTTTCATAGGTTGACAGCTGGGCCTTAATGGTTTAGGATAATAGCTAAACATTCATAGTCAAGGGAGAAATTAAATTGAAAAGTGTATTTAAAGTGTAGATGCATACTTTAAGGGGAGACTTGTGTTGAAAAGAACAAAGATGATGCATACAAGTGCTGATGTTTAAGTTTTGTGAGTGATTGAATGGGTGCAAGGAATCTATTTTGGAAGGTTTAAAACACTGTCCCTTGGTTGGAAGTTATCAGCATTACCCAGTGAAGTGTGGTAACTGATTACAAATGCTTTCCTATTCTGTTTCAATAACAAAGTGAAGTACATTAAACTCTTCACCACAATTTTATTTTATAGTTCAGTGGATTAAAATGGATGTGTAGTCAGTAGTTGTGCTTCACGTGAAGGGTAGCAACCTCTTAATCTCTTCCTGTGTCTTTTATAACCACACATTGAAAGGGTTTGACAGCACAGAGTAAGGATGCTTGCAATATAATAGTCTCACATAAAAACCTCCAATATTAAGAAATCCCTATTAAATCCCTATTAAAAAATCTACATTATTGCCAGATGTACAGCAACTGATATAATATGAATTTTTTTCTCTAACCTGGAGCTTGATTCCTTATGTATCGTGGAGCCATAAGTATATTCACCTTTTTTCTTGCAGATACCAACTCTTAGATCAGGAGCTGTAAGTCCAAGTCATGGACTTTAATGATTATGCTTTAATGTTGTTTTTTTTTTGTGTTCTTACTGTTCAAGGTATCCCTGAGAGTCTGTAGTATCAGGGAGACCATGGGTGGTGTTTGAATTCCCCACTTTATTTCTCCCTAGGAGCTGTCTGGTGGTCATTATAAAGCATAATCAGTGTATTTTGTAGATGAGGGGTCTATGTTTTCAGGACAGAAACCCTATTGATTTCTGAGCAATTGATGTGTAAAACATTGAGGACTTAGTTCAAAATCGATGAGATGTATTCAAATAAATTTTTATCTAACATGTTGGGGGAGGGAGACTATAAACACAAGGACAAACACTCACCTTTATAGGTTATCCTTCATCCTGTGGCATTGAGGGAGAGTAGAGGTGACAGAGCAGCTGTTGCCTACAATGCCTTGGACCACCAGAGCTCTTCATGTGTCATCTTGTCTGCCTGGATGAATGCTCCCTGTTACCTTTCTTCAGCTGAGGGAGTAGGAGGAGTTTGAGGAAGCACAGAAGAACTTGCAATATCTTCTAAAGTTTTCCAGTTTTGTTGCTCTATATCAATTTAAATTGAGGCGAGTGTGTGTGTAAGTTATTATTTTCTTTCTCTTCTCCAGCCAGTTCAAAGCTAGGTACTCAAGTTGGCATTTCCTTTTGTAGATAGGGTAGTGCTGAACAAGTAGCAGCACAGTTCTCATATACATCTCTGATTAGGTGGAAATTTTTAATCTTTTTTTGTACCATACATTTTGTAAAAGTCTTTCCAAAGTTTTCCAAAGATATTTAAAAAAAAAAAAAGTCCAAAACAACTCTCTGCATTTTTATTCAATGCTAACTGCTAAATGAGTATTATAGAAACCATCAGTGAGGGAGAATAATGTGAATGCACCAGGAAAAATAAGCGTTCTTCTCGATTTTTTAATAGGTGAGAGAAAAAAACCAATTGGTTATGATAGAGATTACTATAATAACAGAAGTGAAATCCATGTTTTCATACACTTTAGCCTAGCTAAAATTGTTCTAGTGGGAGAATGTAGCTGTATTATAGACAACATGTTCAAGCCAATGTTTGCTTTGTTGAGCCTTTTATGATCTAGCAATATAAACCTATTTTGTCAGATCAACTTTTCCTTTAGGTAAAAAAGCTCAAGTGGAAAATGCAACTGTTTAATTTACATGAGAATGGCTAATAATCATATGAAGTTTTAAGATTAAAAAGGGGTGCTTATATCACCTAGTCTGCTCTCTGTTGTACAGACTTTTGAGTTTCACTCATAATATAAGGAGGTAGTGTGGGAACATACCATAGCTTATTTCAGTGTGAAATGGATTGAAAATGTCTTAGAGAAATGCATTGTTCAAGAGCACAAAGGAAAAATGAAAACTATTCACCCAAAATAAGGTTTAGTGAGAAAAGTAAGCTGCTGGGAAATTGAAGTTGCTTTTATCCAGATCCATTTGTATTGCTATAACATTAAAATGACTTATTATTGGTAGAATAAATGGTTTTCCAAGCTATCTGATTTCTCCAAATATAATGTCCTAAGGCAGCAGAGAACAGAAATTTTAATTCTGCTATTTTGTGGGTTTGTGTGCATGAAGTGTAAGGCAGCTCACACATTCTTAATGGTTGTGTCCATAAATGATCACCTGGCATTTCAAGTTGTATATAATTTTTTCAATAGCATCAACACATGCAAGTGAATCTTGGCAAGCCTTTTTGAAGGTTTAAATCATAAACTTCAACTCAAGTGGTGGGTTTAAATTTGGCCTCTTTGGTCTGTAATATTCTGCCAGCACCTGGATTTCCAAGTTATGTGAGTAGTTTTCCAGTTGTAGGAATGCTTCCTGGTCACATGCACAGCATTTAGGAAGATCAATACATTTATCTTGCAATACCAATTGATCACTTAAAGAGCCCTTAAGCTCATCAAAAAGCAAGTCTAAGTGACGCCTCATCTGCAAAGAGGCTGGCTATTGTGGAAATCTTACAATCCCAATGTAACTGAATCTGAAGAATGGTGTGAAAATTATTTTTCCTGCCTTAACATGTCAGAAGGGAATAAAATTTAAAGCAACTTGATAATAATGGTGAACACTTTCTTTTATTACTTTCAAATAAAAAATTAAAGTTAACAATGACAGGAAAAAATACAAATGGTACTAAAGCCAAACACAGTAATTTCTCAGTGCAGTAACATGGCTCTCACAACAGTCCTTAGAGAAAAACTGGAAGCTCATTCGGGATGAGGGTCTTGCTGTGATGGATAAAAAAAGAAGCCTCTTCCTGCCTGAAGATGAGAACCTGCGGGAAAAAGGAGACTGGAGCCAGTTTACCTTATGGCAACAAGGTAAAACATTCTGTATTTCTTCTCTTACCTCAATTTCATGACCTCAGAATAACATAGTGGAATTATGAGTAGCAACACAGCTTTTCTCAGAACTGTTTTTGTAATCAGTGTGTACAGAGGAAGGGAACTGATAAAACAGTGTTCAGGACCCCTGTGACAATGAACAGGAGTTCTTTATTCTAAACCATGTTGTCCCCAAACACTTCTAAGGGTCCCTTGAGTATGGTAACTGTTTGATGAGTGTACCCCTCTTCTGGCAAGGCTGCCAACCCTTTACCTGGTAATGCATAATATAGATCAGCCTGAGGGAAGATGGGGACCTGGGAGAAGGCACATGCTCAGTTCTGTGTTGCCAGCTAGGGGAGATCTGTCATTCAGAAATGATACAAGCAAAAGAATATGACTTTAATAAACCTGCTGCCCTGCCCTTGAGTTGTGCATTGGGAGGCCTAACTCTTGGAATGATCTTAAATTCTTATAAAATTCCACATATGAAAGAGTACTGTGAAACAAAATATTAGAAGCAATTTATATCAAAATGTAATCTGGTGTTGAAATGTTATGATACTGGGGACATTTTAATATTTTTCTTCCTATACATCCACATTAGTGATTATAGAAAGCCTGGTGTTCACAAATAATGTAAAAGTAAAATGTGTGGGCTTCTAGGATGTTACAACATGAAAGTACCTAGGTTGCACAGTCTGTAAAATGGGAATAGTAATATTTGTCTGTCTCTCAGTGTCAGATCTTTGGCAGCTTTGTTGCTCTTCTGCAAAGTAGAAAATGGAAATGTTCATTCATTGCTCTTACCAATGTTCTATCCATGATTCTCACTAGGAAGAAAAAATGAGAATGCTTGTAAAAGTGTTCCGAAAACTTGTGCTTTATTGGAAAGATTTCCAGAAGCTACTGGCTGCAGAAGAGGACAGGTACCTGGCAAACTTCTTCATTTTTGCAAATTCATATGTTGGGAGCAGGTGATTTTGAGGAATAGAGGAACATATACAGAGGAATGCACAATTTTGGTATATGTAGTGATGCCTCAAGCACACGGTAAACTTAACAATAAAAATATGCCGTATTTTAATTGTCTGCAAATACCAGGTGAAATATGCTAGCTGAAGCCTTTCTATGGACTCTTTTGTTGAGCCATTTTACCTTGTGTTTCCTGGGAGCTTGTGGTAGTTGAGTAGGTATTTTCCATGGGTCAACCAATAGGTAATGACTGGCTAAACCTCAGCCTGAAGTGACCTGATCTGACTCGTAGCCTAACTCTGCTTTGAGCAGGAGGTTGGATTAGGTCCTTTCTAACCTGAGCTTTTCTTTATTTTTTGATCTGAACCTAACTTTATATGACTAATTTAGTGAGCCAGATTCTCCCTGTGATAAACTTCACCTGTCTACCCCAGCCTGGCTGCATTAGACAGAGGGAGAAATCACCTTGTGGAATCCAAATAGTGCTGCCACATGCTTCTTTCCTGAAGATAAAGGAAATATATTTTGCATTCATGAGTGTGGGTGCCAACAAAATTTGTTTCAAGTGCCTACAATGACTATTCAGCTATCAGTTAACCTCATTTAGACCTCTATGGGTCAGTATACATGCAGTGATTCTGTAGGACATAACTTTTCATTTTTTTTCAAGTTATTCTATTTTGTCTATAATGACTATGTGAGAATGTCCTTCATATGGCAAAACTAAGGATGTAAATTTGAAAAGCACAGTGCTAGTGTAGCCCTAATTTAGACATTTGAGTGTATGTGTTCATCTTTTTGACCAGTCCTTTGCATTTGATGTGCAGAGCTACACTGGGTGGCCACTGCTGTGGGGATGAACAAGGCTGTTGTTTCATTGATTGGTTGTAAAGGCTGGTTATAGTGACTATAACTGATGAGTGAATATAGTGAATATAACTCAATGTGGCTACAAGAAAACTGCTCTCAGTTGCATCCAGAGCCAAAATGGATCTGTCCCTGAGAGCAGATTCTCTTTGAGAGCTACTGTTTTGTTCGTCATATCTTGGTGTTATCACCACAATATGGTTTGCAGAAATGTTGTATATTTACAGCTGTAGCTGTAGTCACTGGTTTTGAAGATATAAATGTAAAATAATCTGAAAAGTAATTCTCTAGAAGTCTGAAGTTTTACATCCACTGTTATGAGATGCCTATGGCAATTTTAGTTTATGTTACTCGGATGTTACTGCTAAAATAAAATACCAGCTGATCCCTATTCACATTCGTTAGCACTGCTAAGCAGTGGGAACAAACAAAATCAGGAAATAAGGAATTCTGTGGTGGATAGACTATTTGGATGCTTTTGTCACCTCATGTAGTGACAAAGATAAAAGAAATGTAAAATAATCAACTACCTGCTCAGTGCTGCTGAGACACTGTATAGAACAATAAGAAGTGATCAAAATTACAATATTCTTCTTAAAAATAGCAGTAAACTACATGTGTCATAGCTAGTTTTAATTCTGGACATTTCTTACATTGCAGCCATAGTAAAACTCATTGGTAGTTTAGAACAGTTTATCTATAGCACTTGAGCACAGCACGCAGATGTAATTCACAGACACATCCAGACTGATCTGCATGGGCAGATAATGTGCATGACAGTAATCAGCCTTCAGTGCTGGCACGTTGGCATTACAGAAATTGTTTGTCTCAGATATTAGTGAGTATCCTGCATCACTTGTTCACATTGCAGTAGGGTCCAGCACATCACAGTGTAGCAGACTTGGGTGGGAGGCTCTGTGTTCACCATGGCCACTGGAGCTCATCACTGGCTGTCATAAGAAACTGCCAGTAAGCTGAGGCCTCAGACAGCAAGGATGGCTGGGGCAAGAGGCACAAGCTGTCTTCTGCTGGTTTTGTTAACAGCTGGAGAGCATGCAACGACTTAGTCTGTAGGATTTATCAAAACTACTCTGTCCCAGCCAAATGTGCAGATTTCTCAGCTGAAAAGGTGCTTCTCACCACTGCCATGCATTATTCACACTTCCTGTTCTCTGAGTTGTTGTAGGATGAATCAAAAAGTTTGAGGTGAGGAGGGACACCTGGAGATTACTTAGTCCAACCCCTTGCCCAAAGTATGATGAATTAGAGCAGGTTGCTGTGTCCAGCCAGGTTTTGAATGCCTCTAAGGATAGACTCTACAGCCTCTCTGGGCAACCTGTTCCTGTGTACAGTAAAAAAAGTGTTTCCTTATGCTTAAATGGCATTTCCTGTGTTTCAATCTGTGTCCATTGTTTCTTTGCCTTTCACTGGATGCTATTGAGAGGAGCCTGCCTCTGCCTTCTTCACTCCTCTCATCAGGTATTTATATGTATTGACAAGATCCTTCCTTGAACCTTATTTTCTCCATGCTGAACAGCCCCGACTACCTCAGCCTCCCTTTGTATGTTAGATTCTCCCATCCCTTAACCCCCTTTGTAGCCCTTCACCTGCTCCAGTGTGTCTATGTCTCTCTCACAGTAGGTAGCACAGAATTGTGTCCAACATTTAAGACATCTCAGCAACTCTGAGGGGAAGGATAAGCTCCCTCAACAGGCTGCCAGAGCTCTCCATAATGCAACCCTGGAAGCTGTCACTGGCTTTGCTGCAATGCTGGCTCTTGTTTCATTTGGACACTGTGAGGACCCTTTGAGGGCCCCCTGTGAGGACTCCACAGTGTCTTTCTAGAAGGTTGTTTTTCAGACAGTTTTCCATCAGCCTGTATTGGTGCATGCCTCCCTAGTGCAGAATTTTATGCTTCTTTTTTGTCAAATATTTTAAGATTTGTGTTTCTCCTATCTCCAACCTGCCAAGGTAAAAAAAAAAAAAAAAAAAAAAAAAGTAGTGTATTGGTCATTTCTATTCAATTTTCTATGATTTGTAAACTTGCTGAGGGGGATGCACTCTGTCCCATCTTCTGAGTCACTGTGAAGCTCTTAAACAGTGCTGGACTGAGCCCTGTAATGCACCTATGATGAGTGGCCTTCAGCTGAACTTTGTGCCTCAGATCATAACTTGTTGAGCCTGGCTTAAGCACCAGGTTTCAATCCTCTTCATTGGGAACTTATCTAGATTCTATTTCCTCGCTTTGTTGATTAGGATGTTTATGGCAGACTGATCAAAGACTTAATGCTGAGATAAACAATATCCACCAAGCTAGAAACCTCACCACAGAAAGCTGGTAAAGTACAGAATCCCCTTCACAAACCCATACTGACTACAGCCAGGTACATTCTTTCATGTTTTTGAAAATTGTTTCCAGGATTACCTGCTCCATCACCTTTCCAAGGGCTGAGGTGAGGCTGACTAGGCAGTAGTTCCTCACACCATCCTACTTACCCTTCTTGAGCAATGTTTCCTTTCTACCAGCTCTCAGGGACCTCTGCTGGTAGCAGTGACCTTTCAAAGATTTTGTGGATTATATGTGGGTTCACACCATCCCTCAGGCCTCGGGGTGGATCCCATCATGACCCATGAACCAGATTGTTGAGTTTGTTTAAATGTTCCCTAACCTGATCCTTCTCCACAGAAGATAAATCATCTGTACTCCAGTCTATTTCACTGGTCTCAGGTGCCTGGCACTCCTGAAAGTCAGTCATACCAGTAAAGACTGAGGCAAAGAAGACATGTAGTGCCTCAGCCTTTTCCATGTCCTTTGTCATCAGATATTTTGTCATGTTTAGTAGCTGGGTATGTTTTCCCTAGACTTGCTTTTATTGCTGAGATATTTGTAGGAATCTCTCCTTTAACCCTTCAATTCTATCTCCAGATTCAGCACCAGGAGAGCTTCAACTTTTCCTAAGCTCATCCCTGCCTGTGCAGTGTCTCTATAGTCTTCCTGTGTGACCTGATCCTTCTTTCCTTCTTCCGCTTCCTGTATACTTCCTTTTTGTGTTTCATTTTTTTCTGGGTTGCCTTGCTTCCTGCACATAAGAATTACCAAGTTTGGACAAGGACTTAAAAATCAACCAGCTGACCTAGACCCCTCTTCTTTCATGGGATTTTCCCCAGCACATGCCTAAGACCAAATCTTCTCTCCTGAAGCTGTGGGTAGTAATTCTGCTTTTTTACTTTCTCCATCCTCTCAGGATCTTGAACTCCACCTTCTCATGGTTGCTACAGCCAAGGCTGACAGTGACCTCCACAGATAAGTGATCTGAGAGGGGCTGGCCAGTCTGATGAACACAAGCCTTGTGTCTCCTATTGTCCATCCTTTTTAGTCTTGCCATAAGAAAGAAGGGGTTTTTTTCTGACTGTAGACAGAAGATAATTATTTTCAGCTTGAAATGTGAATAGTGGTTATTTTAAGTAAAATTAAAACTATGTACTTTCATACACAAACACGCCCCTGGTTTCATACACACACCACAAGACATGTTTTGTGGCATTTAGGATATGAGAGAAAGCTGCAGCTGAAACTCAAACAAAACATGGCATTACATTTTTCACCCATCACCAAGGATGAGACTAAATGAAGTCCTGAACTCCCAGCAGCACGGCTGTGAAATAGAATGTGTTCAAAAATGTGCCTTTCTCTTCTTGCAGATCAAATACTCTATCATGCACCCAGGGACTCATGTCTGGCCCCACACAGGGCCCACCAATTGTCGCCTGAGGATGCATTTGGGCTTGGTGATCCCTAAGGAAGGCTGCAGAATACGGTGTGCCCAAGAATACAGGTAATGTTGCAATGTTGGGGTTTTTTTTAATTGTTTTGGGGAGAGGGGTTGCTTGCTTGCTTGCTTGCTTGCTTGGTTTTTGGGTTTTTCCCCCCCCACTTGAGGAAAGACTGAAAAAGGGATATAACTGCACGTGGTTAAAAAAAGAAAAAAGGGGGCTTTGTGATGACCAGGATGTGTAATATATTTTTATATATTATGTGTATATATATATATATTTTATATATAATATATTTTTTATATTAATGTAATGCATTAAACAGGCAGTTTGCACTCTGACTCATAGAACAGAATTATAAATATCACTTCTGAAACAGTGCCAGGAGAGCCTTTCAAGACAAACCTGCTCTTCTCTGCTAAGGCATGAAAATAACAGTAGGTTTGGTCAATGGGGTCTCTGCTTACTCTTATCATGCCAGCCTAATATTGCTGCCAACAGAGTTCCTGTATTTGTTTTGATTTTGGAGAGACTTAGAATTTGTTGCTTCTTTGGCAGAAGCTAAGACTAAGATATACCTACATTTTCACTGCTGTGACAGAATACCATGGTACTTCTGGCAGAAGTCTCCTTTTCTGCTTATATTTTTTGTTATAATTCAGTTAAAATACTCCAGTTGAAGTTGATCTCAGGACGAAGATATCTATAAAGTTTTAGGCCCAATGAATTACACAGGTGGCTTTTTTTTTTTTTTTAAGTGTGCTTTAAGTGAAATTTCTTATCCATTAGGGGAAAAATTATACTGAATTTCAAGTCAGTTTTATCTCTATTTGCTCAGTCCAAAATGAAATTAAATGAAATGGTTTATACATTTATAATCAGGGCATATACTCCCCTTAGAAATATGGGGAAATGTGCTAAGTTTTTTGTATTATATTATTGAACACAGAAAGAAAAATGTGGTGTTAACTATACTGCCAATTGCTTACAGGCTTAATTTGCTGAGACTTAAGTGAAATTCTCATAATACTTAGTATCTGTACATGTATTTTGAAAGACTCTTGTATTGTCTGCAACTTCTGAGGGCAGCAAGTGTTAATTTTTAATTATTTTCAATGTAATAATGAAATGGTAGAAATATAATTGATTTGATATTGAGAAATGAAATTCTACTCTTATCTGCATGACTGTAATACATAGCAAAGGAGGTTTTTTTGATAACATTTGAAAACAACCACAACTGGAAATCTTTGGAATTTTTGAGGATAGAAGTATCCAGCTGTTAATAGCAAAAAGTGTTGTTACTGTACTCTCCTGCCAGCATGTAGCTTATAATCAATGTTACAACCTATGCTACCCACATCTAGGAAGTGACTGACTTTTTTTCCAGCTTTCCAATCAAACATCCAAGACAAGCTGGGAGGAGGGAGAGGTAGCTAATTGCCTTAGAGGACTGATAAAGAAGCATGGATTCTTTTCACTTTAGGACATCAGTGTGAGTTCAGATTGGTGGTGACTGCATGGCGTTACCATTAGGTGGCTGTAGCCATTAGTAGCTACCATTAGTAGCTGGTGTGAACAAAAGAGTGGTTTTGCTCTGCTGCCAAGAGAGCAGGTGTCCACAGCTCACCACCTGTTATAAGGCTGGCACCCTTCTTTGTCTTAACCTGGACAGAAGGGATAATCCTGTGGAGAATGAACTTAACTACCTCCTTGGTAGCAACAGTCCTTCAAAGTCAAGAGCAGAAAAATGCCTGTTGCTCCAGACAGAACATAGAGCTTGTCAGTGTCCAGGGTCCAGAACCTGGGTTGATCTTATGCATCAGACATATTCATTTCACATGTAAAACACTTGAGAGGTGATTACAACTTCTGCTGAAATGTGCTAAGATCAGTTGCTTACAGCAAGAGCTGTACATTCAGAAACAAGGGCGAGATTTTCCCTGGAAGCACTCAAAGTGTGTCTATTGCTGGCAGTGAAAGGGCTTTTATGTATCCTTCCCCTATGGCAGAGGAGGTGTGTGAACTACTGTCAAAGGGAATGGTGCCAGGAGGAAGATTTACCTTGAGAAATTTCCAATTCTTTCCTCCTGGTGGTTCAGAGCAGTGGTAAACTGGTGGTTTCCAATAGGAGAGCTGGCTGGAAGAGGAAGATTAGCATCATGCCTTTTCTGGCCTCCTGTGCCACTGCTGTGTGCGTGAGGGAGCAAGAGAAACAATGAGAATTTCATGCTTGGTTACCTCTGTGCCACCCAGCGTGGTTGTTTAGAGAGTTTCAATGCAACTCATCATTTGATGGACAGGCAAATCAGCACTGCCTAGTGCTGTGTTTTACTCCTTCACTTGCAGAAGAGTTTTTTACAGCTGTTTGGGGTTGGTATACCTTGTGTTTGAGGGCCACAAAGATGATCAGAGGGCTGAAATACCTCTCCTATGAGGAAAGGCTGAGAGAGCTGGGGCTGTTTGGCTTTGAGAAAAAAAGACTCCAGAGAGACCTCATGATGGCCTTTAAGTACTTGAAGGGAACTTTTAGGAAAGACTGGGACAGTTTGTATCAGATAGGTTGCAACAGGGCAAGGGGTAATGCTTTTGAACTAAAAGAAGGTCAGTCTAGGTTATATATACAGTAGAAGTGCTTCATAGAGAGAGTGGTGAGACACTGGAACAGGTCACCCATAGGGATTATAGATATTCCATCCCTAGAAATATTCAAGGTGAATCTAGACAGGGCTTTGAGCAACTAATTGAGTGGAAGATGTCCCTGCTCATTGTTGGTTTTGCCTTTAAAGGTTATTTCAACCCAAACTATTATGATTCTATGTTTCATGTTCTTTATAGCATTGATCATTTTAGGTCACTTGGCCATTTTGGACTCCCAGCTCTATAAAGTACATGGTATAATGCACAAAAGTGGTGGATAAATAATATCTAATTATCATAATCCAACATTGCTGTTAAGGAAGGTAACCTTATGTTGAAATGAAAGTGAAGGTATGCAGAAGCCAGTCTGAGATCTCATCTTTAACAGGTAACACTAGAGCTGATACGGAAAATTATCTGGAAACTACCCCAAAGTGGCTCAGCACCAGACCAGAACAATATGGTCCCTGTGTTACCACTGAAAAGTGTTTCTCACACCATCAGGCTTCTAGAAAATATTTATTTGCATGCTAATAGTGGGGTTTGTAGCCTTTTCAAAAGGGGCTAATAGTCCCGTCAGCTTTATGACTTTTTCTTTGTTGTGCAAAACAGCCGATCCCATTATGATGCAAATGATAGATCCTGGGTTTTAACCTCTGAAGCTACTTCATCTGGGTGCCTGGGTTTTTATTGTCCTTTACCAGAGTTGCACTTTCAGGCTATTTAGAGCAGTTCTTTTCAGGCTTGATTTAATTAAAAAAAAAAAAAAGCAAACCAAAACCAGAAACAAAATAACTGAAAAAAACCCTAAACCAACCAAAAACCCAGCTACTCCCCTCAACAAGAAAAACAGCACTAGATCTCAATTGCTTCAGACAAAGCAAAATCAAATCCCCCAACCCTCCCCAAACACCATCACCAAACGCCCCTGGCGCCATCTCCCAAAAACACCCTAGTCAAACCCCCCAAAATCAACCCCCCACCCAAAAAACTCTAAAAAACCCCAGAAAAAAACCCAAAAAATAAACCAGCCCAATAAAAGAAACCTAAAACAATTACACAACCCAAAGTGTGCTTTAATTTCTTTTACCACATTATAGCACTGCAAGTGGTTTACTCCCATGGACTTTAATAAAACCAATGTAACTTTGGTGCAGTAGCAGTAACTCAGGGTCTATGTGACATACAACATTTTTGTTACCAGATAACTCATGTGGTAGCACAAACCCACACATGATCATATCTGAAACCTGCAAAAGGCTATTTGTCTGGGCCTTTAAGGCATGTGCAAGTTAGTGTGAATTTTTTTACTGGGTTATGCTTTCTGGTTTGTCTACCCTTGTTTCAATTATGTTTAGCTGATTATTTCAATTGATCCTTTTTCAATTTCTCTTCAGAACGTTACAGCATAACCCCATACATTTTGATGGTTAGGTTTTTTTTTCCTTTTGTTGAATTAAAAATATGGAGATGAATTGGAAGTATGAACCTAATTTTCACCCTGTTTTTGAAAAAAGAAAATTGTTTTCTCTGTAAATGAATACAGCTGAATGAGCTTAAGCAATGCATTTCCATCTTTGATGGCAAGGCCTTTGTGTCTTTACCATTGTTACCGTTCAGAGTGTTTACTTCCCTCTGAGGGCATCCATCCTCTTGGATTGTTTCAGCTCCTGAGGTATCCTGTTAAAAAAATTGAGTGTGTGTTCATGATAGAGTGTCTTTAGGAAGGAATGTTTCTTTGACCATTGTGACCTTGACTGTTATTCATCTAGCCTCACCTGAAGGTGTATAATGAGGTGTTAAATTTCTTTTCAAAATTATGAATCCAGGTCTCAGCAGGCTGGAGAGGCTGCCAGCTGAAATGTGATGAGGTTCAACAAAGGCAAATGCAAAACCCTGCAGCTGATAACAGATAAACACCTTGCAGCTGTAGTGGCTGGGTGATGACTGCCTAGAAAACAGCTTTGCAGAAAAGGGCTTAAGCACGCTAGGGACCAAGTTGAACAAGACTAATAATCTTCTTTTGTATTGATGAGGTCTAGCTGTGTACTGGACTGTGTTAGTATATTTGTAGGAAGCAGTTTGAGCAGTACAATTTTTGCCTCTCTCTTCTGCATTCAAGACACTGCCTCTGGAGTACCACATCCAGTTTGGGACACTTTAGTACAAAAAAAAAGTCATTGACAAACTAGAGGGACTCCAGTGGAGGATGAATAAGATGATTAGGGGTAGAAACTTAACAAACTGGTTTGGAGTCTGGAAACCAGAAGGCTAAAGAGTAGCCTAGTTACTGTTTTAACTACTAATGGGTGACTGTGAGGGAGACAGAGCCAGACTCTTTTCAGAGAGGTACAGTTGTAGAACGGGAGGTAATGAACACAAGTGACAGTGAAGGAACTTTCATCTATGTAAAAGGGAGTTTTCACAATAAGATGGTAGAGTGCCCATGGTTGCAGATATCTCAGGTTCTTCAGTAGTGGATTTTTTAATATTTCATCTAACTTCAAAGTTGGATCTAACTTTGTAGTGAGTCCTTCTATGAGCAGAAGTCCTTCTTGGACCACATGACCTTCCAAAGGCATTGGTCTGATTTTTAGAAAAAGCAAATTGATTTAAAGTAACTTCTTTTTGAACCATATGACCATTTTACTAGTCATTCCCTCAGTCTCCATCACTTATGTACATCACTAATGTATCTGATTAGAAATTAAGAAAAGTGGATTATCACACCAGTATTATAACCACTCCCTGTTTAATGGACTCAAGTCATTAAAAGTATAATAAATAGCATATATCATAAATGTCTGAATGTGTTTGTGAGCATAACTGTGCAGAATGAGGGGGAAAATAACATGAAAGTCCATTAGACTGATCTTTCTGTGGTTTATTTAAAGCTCTCATACTCCACTCTCTCTGGATTAGGCAGAGAAATCTTGATTGTGCAAGATGTCAAAGATCATCTTCAGAGTTGATCTTTAGCTTACCTGCTCCATGGCACTTCAAATGCTACACTAAACTATGTTCTTTTTTGTTTCACAGAGACTGGGAAGAAGGGAAAGTTCTTATTTTTGATGACTCTTTCGAACATGAAGTATGGCAGGATGCTGAAAGTTATCGCCTGATATTCATTGTGGATGTGTGGCACCCTGAGTTAACAGCTCAACAGAGACGTACCCTTCCTGCTATTTAGAGGGTTTCTTCTGATGTGTGGAGCAGAGGAGTATTAACTCCTTTGGAGTATGAAAATAGGATTAATTTATCCAGCATACAAAATATACAAGCATTTTAAGGGTAAGAAAAGATAAGGGTGACATTCTACAATCACAGTGGACTTGGTTTAAAAAGAAAGAAAAAAGAAGCCATGTTTTGTTTCATACTGATACAGCACTGATTTGTATTGTTTTTCTGGCTGCTAGTCTGAAAACACAAGTCTTGTCAGCCAAAAGGCAATAGATCCGGATTTTCAAACTGAGGAATGTGCAGATGTTTTTGCCATGCCTGTATTTTCTTTACAAAATCAGTCACCTGCTTAACTGTGTTCAGGCACAAGATTTATGATTTTACATCTAGGGAATACTTCCTTGCTTTCTGTCTGGGAAGCAACATGTAAGATATTTGCAAACATATGCACACAATTGACTTTGAAAATCAGTATGCAGGTGTAATGTTAGCTGCTTTAGGCATAGAGCATGTCCCTATGTTATCACTGTAGATAATGTGAATGGATTATGTGTGTTTTGTACTTTTTCTACCTGAGTAACTGTATTTTTCTAGCTTAATTATGAACAAATCTTCTTTAACTAACCACTATTTTTTAAAAAAGGTGATAAATATACACAAGTGTATCTCCAGCTATCAGCAGAAGGAAAATGCTGTATATGAACAAATTTCATTTTTGCCAAGTGTGGCCTTCTTTTGCCTTCCTGGAAATGTAAACAGAAACTTGCATAATAGCTGCCTAGTGAAGCTTTGTTCTTCTAAAACAGAATAGTTCTCTTAGTTAGCGTGTGGCCTTCAGCTTGATAATGTGATTTTGGAAAATGTTGAGCAAATCTGACATTTTTAGGCTCAGATCCTAAAGTACTTGACAGTATATGGTGAGCTGCTGTTTCTCCTATCATTACCAAAGCTTCTGCTGTGATATCCTATTTCTACCCAGTGGAGGGTCTGGGACCCCTTCTTCAAGGGGCTCCTCCTTGGCTGCCCTTGGGTGGTCATTCAGCAGAAAAAAAAAATACATGAAGAATTTCTTGTGCTTTGGGCAGAAGGACAAGGTCCAACTTGGCTTCCTGCCCGAATGCAGAGCAGACAAAGAGCTTCAGGTTATTAACTCATATTAACTTCCACTGCCAGCATCCTACCGGGTGCTAGAATGATCCTCTAATTGACCTAATGGTGTTTTCCTTGCCTTGAAATGTGTGATATAATGCTGAAGTAGTCTGATCCCAGTAATGTTTACAGTATGCTCTGTATTTGCCATACAGAATTTGCCATGTGGTAAAAAGGTCTATTTTCAAGAAAGAAAACTAGCTACATGTTTAAGCAGTTGGCAGGTCTTTTGGGTGTGTACTGTTTAATGGGAGATAGAGTGTGCAGGACCCTCTGCTTTTGACTTCGAAGAACACTAACAGGGGAGAGAGAGAGCAGAGATTTGATGTTTATGGCTGGCTGTTATCTCCTCACCCACAGCACCAGCTGGCTCTGGACAGGTGTGCCAGGATGCTCTGGGCATCATGACTGACACTTGTGAGTGACAAACTCTAAGCAAGGAGACACTGGGATTACTTAGTCTCCGCAGCTTTGACTTTGTTGTCCAAAAGCCATGGAACAGTTTTTATTTGAGTAGTACTCAGTGTTTTATTACTGCAGAGTCTACATCATGGCATTGGAGTATCGTGACCTGAATGTCACATTTGCTGAGGCAAACTGCAGATAAGAGCTCTGAATTCCCATAAACTGAATGCTTTTCAGATTTTTGTATTTTACTAGGTAATTAAATCTTGTAATGCCATATAACACATGGTGACTGCGCCATAAATTAGTGTAACCAGTTTCTGGAAGCGTGCACTTTAATTTCCTCTTTTGAATATTAAACTGATAAACCCTCCCTTATCAAGAGTCATTTTTAGACAGCTAAGATAATTAGGTTTTCACATGTTGTCCATATCAAAAATAATCATGAAACTATACACAATGTACAAGAAAGTAACAGTTCTCAGTTAATAATAATGAAAAAACTGTAAAGATTTATAAGTTTCATACTTTAGAAAATATAAAAATACTTTTGGAGATCATTTGGAGAATCATGCAAAGCTTGAAATAAGGTACTTCTTGTTGTGGGGGGTAAAAGAATAAAAATATTTTTTAAATATCCTGTTAACTGTCAAGTCAAAGCCTATATTTTATATCTTTTTGAAGTGATCAAACAGTAAAAATTATAAGGTAATTCTCTAAAATAAAGACAGTGTGTGCAAAAAAAAATCAATAACTTTTTAAACAAAAATTGATGGTTTAGGAATATTTTTATTAATGTTGCATTTTAGTTTCTATAGCTCAGAGTAAATGCTAAAGGAGTGGTAAAGGCTTTGGAGCTTTATTTATGAAAATCCATGCCGTCCTTCAGATTATTTCATTGATCCTTTGAAGGCCCACACTTTATCTTGTCCAACTGCAGTTGGCAAATAGATAAAATTGGCAAATAGATAAAAGTAATCTCCCCAAGATGTGTGTGTGCCAGAGTAGCACTGTCTATTAGATTGTGTAGTGATATATCGACCATTTAAAAATCTTAAGTGCCTCAAATAAGACAAGGTGTTCCTGCAACACTGAAGGGAATCTGTTCTATGCCCACCTGTCAGGGAGCAGAGAGTGGATAATTTCATTAGGTACAGTTACTGGATTAGCTCTATACGTGGTGAGGATACATAGAGCAGACTGCAGAAATTATGCAGTGAATTACTGGCATATGGTTTTAGGTGTTCCTGTTTGCCAACTGGTATTCTGTCTTGAAAAAGCTTTTTTGAATGGAAGTGGTTTTTTCAATGGAAATCCATTGCAATTTGTGGTTTTTGGTTTGTTTTTTTTTTGTTGTTAGATTTATTTACAGAAGGAAATGGCAGACAAGGGCAATATAGTTTGTAACACAGTATGTACTCATCACGATGTTAGGAGGTGGCTTCCACCTTGTCTTTTGTTACCTTGCTTGCACAGAATCTGCGTAAGAGCCTAGGGTTAAATGCAGGCTTCATACACTTACATACAAGGCATCATATGTATTTATTCATACCACAGTTAAAGAAAGTAAATAATTTATCCTTTGCGAGGTTTGATCCTCAAGGAGAAGATGTCAGTGGTATTTGCACTTCTTGGGCAGGACAAGACCCATTTTTATGAACAGTGATTGTAACAGATTATCACAAAGATTCAATGGCAATGGGGGTAAGTATATTAACAGAAAAATCACAAACCAAAGTATTCCTTCCTTAGTGCTGCAGTATAATAGCAAATGTCTGTCTTTTTTTGTCTCTTTGGGTTTTCACTTTCTGCTTTAAGCACATTCTCTTTGACAAATCCAAATGCCTTTTAGTCTCTGTGAGCCCAGGGAAGAGAAAGGAACTGCTACCAGGACTTGACATCCGTGTTTCCTATAATAGGTGGTGATGATGTCAGGTGGGGGAGAATGGAAGAAACCCCAAAGATAAATGGGCTCAGTCATCTTATTTTTTAATGTTCTTGCAAGCTTCTGCTTCTTTTTCTGACTCCTGCATTGCTTTGCTGGGACCATCCACTGCTGGGACCATCCACTGGCTCTCTATCATGGAGGCCAGGCTTTGTATGAATGACATGTTGCTGCAATAAGAGGTTTGTCTGAGTGAGGTTATTCTGCACAAAAACTAGTGGGTAAATCCCAGGTGTGTTGATAGGATCTGGCAGGATGTCCCTTCTGTCCTGTGCAGGCATAAAATGTCATTGTAGATAAAGGCAGTATTTTGTTAGTCCATCTTTTAGGGCTGGCCATGTCCACTTGAACAATGTCATCACTTCAGCCTAACACTTGAGAATTCAGTGGGTGTTCCAGTGCACATTAAAAGCCCTTGTGCCCATTATCATCTCATTTTGTATGTATGGTTTACACTGCTACCTTTGATATATTGTTGCCAAGTGCTTGTTCTAGTAAGTTGTCAATGTATGGCAATTTAATTGAAGATTTAAAGTGTGTACAGTGATTGTAACTGTTTTAGGAAATAAAGTCACTGCACATGCAATTTGATAATGATTGTTCTTTTATTTCTTTAATCTGGTTTCCATTTCAATGAAGGGATGGTACTCTCTTTGCAGCTAGAGCAAACAGAGATATAACAAACTGATCTTTGGCATTTCAGTTCTCCTATTCTTCAACATTTCCTTCTAGCAGAAACTTGTTCTGAATAATTAATTCTAAGTTTTTCTTTTCCATTTTAACCATGGCCCACATCTGCAATCAGCACACCTTTCTGGCTACACTTTTCCCTGACTGCAGGAGGGAAGGGGGTAAATGGCTCTGGAAAGCTTTCCTTGCTGTTGTGACCTAAATGAAGCAATCTAGATTGAACCACTAATCACTGTTGAATTTGTCCAGTGTGTCTCCATGGAACCACCCCCTTCACACGTGCACACACATGCACATGTCTTCTAGGCTCCTGAGTTGCCTGTGGAAATGTTAATCATTACTAAAATCAACTAATTGCCTTTCAAATTCTGTGTGTCTGCTGCTCACACAGCTCATTCCACTTAGCTGACAGCTTTATAAGGGTTTCAAAAGTTAAGACCAATTTTTGCTAGATACTGAAATGTGACCCCCGTATAAGCTGCATGGATGAGTCAGTCACAAAGTGTCACGTTGAATGGCATTATGCTGGCATTGGGGTTCTTTTTTAAATGTGAAATCCTTCTGTAAAACTCAAATACCCTATAGATGCTGATGATTCTGCCCTCTAACCCAGACTACACTTGCTGATTACAGTGTGAAATTTGAGATGCTTTTCTTTAAAACTCTTACAATCTTCACTTCTATAAAATGATCATCCCTGATGGAGTCTTCAGGAACACTATTAACACACCCTGGTTTCTTTAAACAGAGAATGCAGTCCCACCATTTCCAACAATTTAATGTCACAAATCAAAGTGGAAAAAAAAAAAAAGAAAGAAGAAATCCAATTCTTTGTATATGGACAGCCTCCTGTGTCAGTAGAAGTTTCTCAGTTCTTGTTCAGCGCCGGCCGCATGGACAGATGGCTGGTGACAGTTGTTACTTGGTCAGGAAACACGAAGGACTTGTTACCGAGCGAAACGCGTGTGTGCGTGCGTGTCTGTGTGTGGTGTGCTCGTGGGGTTCTGTACGGTGGAGGTCTGTTCGTGGGTCTCCCCTGGGCACGTGAGAGCTCAGTCCAGAGCCAGCAGCGGCTGGGTGTTCTCACTTTCCCCCTGATCCTCGTGTTTCAGCGTGCCGGCTTCCACCACAGACTGGGACCTGAATGCAGAAAAACACACATGCTAGCAGTAACTGCTGCAGAAGCACTCACCTCCCCGTGCTTCTTTTTATGAGCTTTGCTTTAGACCACTTTCATCTTTATGGCTTTTTAATTCTTTTCTGTGGAAAGCATAAGGAATTTGGGAAACTCCTTTGCATACAAGCATACAAGCAGGGAAGGGAGTCATTGAAGATCTTAAATACTATCAAAATATTAAGTGCCTGCCTACTATCTCTAGTGCTGAACGTGCTCAGCAACTTAAAGACCTGGGCCTGCAGTGCCATAAGTTCTGTTGGAGCTCAATGTCTTCCTTGGCAAAGCTACATGTACAGCTGCTCACTGGAAGGCAAAGTCATTTGCACAGGCACTTGCAGGAGTGAATCACAGCTTGTGCTTGCTGCAAATCTTGAGAAATACAAGTAAATCATATTTTTCTGATGTAGGGCTTTATGGGGCAGAGCTTCCATGAGGTACCCAAGATCAGTAAAGAAGACAGAGTTAATATGACAATGAGGGAGCTTCTGGTGTGCCCAGTCCTGCAGTTTGTCTCCCTGTCTACACCCTTGCAGGATAACTTTATTCAGGGTTAGCCCATTTTAAAATCATTCCTGTCTTCAAGGTGGGAAGCACAGTTTATCCTTTGTTATTAATGGACTAAAAAAATCCCAACACAGAAAAAAATAATAAACACTAGAGAAAGAAGAGCATCATAATTTCTTGCAGCAGCAAAAATTGAATGGGCTCAAAACTGTGGGAAAGTTCAAGACTATTTCATTTTCTGAGGTCTGTGTGCTCTAATGTTTGCTTGCTGAACTATGGAAGGAGGATCTGATGACTTCATTGTTAGAGAGATTTGTTATCCTCCATTTTCTCTGTAGTGGGCTAGGAACTGCCCCAGTTCCAAGAGGAGACAGTGAGCTTCAGAGCAAGATCACTGAATGAATCTGGAACTTTTAGAAAAGGACTTTTTCATAAGGGGGCATAGAGTCATCCAGACCAGGTATTCATATATTGCATAGTATTGTTATAAAGAGCCAGTTTTCTCATGGATAGCTTTTTGAATCAGGAGTAGCTTTCATTCCATACATGATGCATTTGTAGTTCCCAGTTGTTCACTTATGCTTTAGCTGCTTTGTGAGATTAGATGTCACCTCTCTTTTGATAAGAATCCTTAATAAATTGCATCCTTTGGTACTGCAGGACTGAATACCATGACTGTGAATAACTTGTATGATAATTATTCCTATTCTTATGCCTGGAGCTTTCATTAAAGCATAATAAAAATAATTAATTTGAAAAAAATCTTCAAAGAAAGATAACAAAAACTGGATGCTCAATGACTTTATGCCATAATTTTCAAAGAAATTATGTTTGCCCAAATGTTTTCAATGCATATGTTTTACAGATATGTGACATGAATAGTGATTTATGATTGAATTTTAACATAGAAAAGCAACTGATTTGGGAGATTATGCTAAATGGCAATTTACATATTTCTAGGATGAGGCAGCAAAAAATAATGATGTGGCTTTCAAACTGTTATGGAATGGATTGAAAACTCAACATCATCAGTTTTTTATTTTCTTTCTGACTACAGGATCAAATTATTATTAAATAGTACCTGATTAATACTCATCACCAGACAATACTCATCTGACCCACTGCCCTTCAATGAATATCAAAAGTTGTGTATCCTTTGCAGCATTCCCCAACACATAGCTGAAAGTTTCTGCTCTAAGTCAACTGTGAAAAATCTGAATTTTTTCCTTTTGTGATCACTGCTGATCATCTCTGCTCTCATCTCCTTACACACTCAAAAATTCTTGCATTTTGTAACAGCAAGATATCATGTTCTCCACCATACTGGTACTTGGATGCGCACCACCTTGGGAGCAACATAATCCCAAATTCTATGTGCAGGTCCCCTTTACACAGAAACAAAACATCCAGAGCACCAAGTAAATGTGTTGTAACCCACCTGACCTCCAAATTCCAAAAGCCAAATGATTCAAATGCTATGTCCAGCCCTTCTGAATAATGCAGAGAGGGATCCAACTGAGGTTTTTGTATCCACCAAGCTCTGGCAGCAGCAATTTCTTTTCCATTTCTGCTTAGATTACTATCCTAAAATAAGCAATTCTGATATCTCTGTAGGGCACAGTCATGGTTTGAACAATCATTGTTATTTCCTAAGACACCACAAATAAAGGATTTCTGTTTGGATTTCCATTTTCCAAATACATCAGGGGAGTCTTTGCTGAAAAGTGCTTCCACTTTTGTTTTTAACCTACTTTTTATGTAGGAAATAAAAAAATCAGTAAATGTTGAAAAATATTCCAAAACACTTTTTTTCATATTCTTCATTTATGGTAAATATTAAAAATGTAGATGGTCAGGAAAGGATTTTGACAATATGAATCAATGCAGCTCACAATCTAATGTAATAACTTAGCATGAGATATATATTTCACTGGCCTAAAACATCCTGAACGCATTCTATACTTTATTTAATGATAGAGAAAAGATGATTTGCAGTAGGCCACTGTTGCAGAAAGCATTTTCAACTGACCAGTATCTGTAGAATTACAGAATTAGCTGAGTTGGAAGGGACCCATCAGGATCATCAAGTCCAAATTCTGGCCCTACACAGCACCATCCCCAAGAGTCACACCATGTGCCTGAGAGCATTGTCCAAATGCTTCATGAGCTCTGTCAGGCTTGGGGATGTGACCACTCCCCTGGGGAGCCTGTTCCAGTGCCCAGACACCCTCCGCATGAAAAATCTTCTCCCAAGATCCAAAATAATCCAAGACCCAAAAATCCCCTGTCTCAGCTGCATAACATTTCCTCAGGTCCTGTCACTGCTTAGGAGAATAAAGATTTCGGTACCTGCCCTTTCACTTGTCCTCATAGAGATGCTGAAGACCACGGTGAGGTCTCCCCATCTCCTCCGGGCTGAAAAACCAAGTGACCTCAGCTGCTCCTCATGTGGCTTCCTCTCCTGTCCCTTCACCATCTTCATTCCTCCTTTGGACACTTTTTAATAGCTTTATCTTGGAGCACCCAGAACTGCCCCCAGCACTGGAGGTGAGGCTGCCCCAGGACAATCCCTTCCCTTGCCCAGCTGGTGCTGCTGTGCCTGATGCCCCCCAGTACACACTTGGCCCTCCTGGCTGCCAGGGCACTGCTGGCTCATGTTCAGCTTGTCATCAACCAGGACCCCAGGTCCCTTTCCACAGCACTTGTCTCCAGACTCTTGTCCCCCACACTATTCACACAACAAGAGTTGCCCCATCCCAAGTGCAGAATCCTCGTTAATCTCCATACAATTGGTGATTGCCCATCTCTCTAATTTGTAGACATCTCTCTGCAGGGCTGCCTTGCCTTCAAGGGAGTCAACAGCTCCTCCCACTTATTGTTGTATCCTTCAAGTTGTTACCCTTCAAGTCCTGCATCCACATCATTAATGAAGCCGTTGAGGAGCACAGGGCCAAAGATGGAGCCCTGCAGAGCCCCACTAGTGACAGGTTGCCAGTCTGATGTCACCCCTTTCACTGTAACTCTTTGTGCCTGACCCATGAGCCAGTTGCTCGTCCATCACATGGTGTGTTTATCCAGTTTATCCAGTGTTGGCTATTTTGTCAGGAAGGATACTGTGATAGACAGTATCAAAAGCTTTGCTGAATTCCAAAGAGATTTCATTAACTGGCTTTCCTAGATCAGCTAGGTGGGTTACTCTGTGGTAGAAGGAAATCTGGTTTGACAAGCAAGACTTTCTCCTCATCACCGTGCTGAATGTGACCAAAGACTGCATTATCCTCCAGGTGTTTTTCAGTACCTCACAGAGTAATTTTTCCATGATTCTACTTGGCACTGAAGGAAGACTAACAGGCCTGTAGTCTCCAGGGTCCTGCTTCTTACCCTCCTTAACAACTGGGACATTTGCCAGATTTCAGTCAGCTGGGACTTCTCCAGATCACCAAGACCACTCAAAAGTAATCTAGAGAGGCATTGCAGTGACATCAGATAACTTTGAGGATTCTCAGATGAATCTCATCAGGCCTCATAGATTAGCAGGGATCCAGCCAGAGCAGCAGATCCTGCTCAAGTTCAGCTGGGTCAGCTGGGAGTTGATTGTTCTCACAGTCATGGTCCCTCAGCTCTGGGCACTGAGATCCCCTGCATTTTTTGGCTGTATAAATTAATATTAGACAAATACTGTTTGGAAGAAGCACCCTATCTGTTGGTTTCATCTGGCTTTTGTGCATCTAGTACACATCTTCAGTTCAAGGAAAGAAGTCACATTCTAGGTATGTGCAAGTTTATGCACTAAATAGAGGCTTTGTATGCTGGCTCTAGCACTGAGCCTAGGATTAGGACTAGTTCTTATTTTAAAAGTACTGCTACCTGGTTTAGCTTCATTAACATTTTATTCAGAGGATTTCATAACCACAATTCGATTTTTTAAAACAATCTGCTCATGATTCTTGTAAAGGTATGTGTGTATCTAATTGCACCTTAACCTCCTATCGAAAAATGAATTGCAGTAAGACACGAGAGTACCTTTGCCCTGACTAGTCCTTGTAAATTGCAACCATCTTTGCATTCAAAGCACCCTCTTGCAGAACAATTTAAGTGATTTTGATTTAAAATGGTAAATTAGCAGTACAAAACTTCCCTTGTTTGGCAAGCAGGGTTTAAGCTTTGGCCCTGTCAATGCAGTGGATACTGTTCTGGTGGTATCCCATGGCCAGCAGAAGTTGTTCATGGCACCAGACAAAAGCATTTCTGTTTTGCTGTCTTTCCATATCAATATGTTCAAATACCTGATGGGGTGGAGTAGTGGAACACAAAAGAATCATCTCAGTGATACTCAGTGACAGAAGAGGCAGCAGACATCAATGGAAACACAGGAACTTCCATTTTTTTACTGGGGAATGTTTAAACACTGAAACAAATTGCTCAGAGATATTCTGGAGTCTTCGTGCTTAGAGATATT